CGGAAGAGATCCAGATGAGATGATAAGTGAACCAGAGGTTGATCTTAGTGTAAACTTTGGCACGGCTCGGAGAGTCTAAGAGGTCAGCAATGAGGGGCAATGGATAGCAGTCTTTCTTGGTGATCTTGTTCAGGCCACAGAAATCCACACAAAGACTCAGGGAGCCATCCTTCTTCTTGACAAACAGGACAGGGGCTCTGTGCAGAGAGGAGGAGGAATGGAGTCCAGACAAGATATTTTCATCCAGGAACTTCTGGAGAGCTTCAAGCTCAACCAGTGAAAGGGAATATATGGTGCCTAGGGGTGGAGCAGTACCTTCCTCTAAGTTGATCTTTAGGTCGTAAGGCCTATGAGGAGGAAGTTGGCTGGCTTTTCCCTTGTCAAAGACATCCGCATATTCATGATACTCCAGAGGGATCACAGATAGATCCAGAGCATCAGATGAAGTGGATATGGAACAGATCTTGGCACTGGAAGGATGTAGGAAGATGCTGAACTGCTTGGAGCCTTCTAACTTGCAGGCCTGGCAAAAGGCAACTGCATTGATTAGAGAAATGTTAGGCTCAGAGGTATCAGCAGAGGTGTCTGGAGTAGTCGGAGGGGTAGTTTCCACTGGAGGTGGTGGAGGTGATATTGGAGGGGTCAATGGCATTCCATGAGATGAAGTCCAGAACTTGATTCTGTGCAAAACCCAGTCAATCAATGGATTGTGTCAGGTAAGCCAGCTATATCCAAGGATGATAAGACAGGATGAATCCAAAGGAGTTACGTAGAACATATCGGAGGTGACTACACTGGACGAGAAATGGATGGGCAGATCTATAGCTTCGGAAATGGTTGCATTACAAGTACCATCAAACAAACGGAGCAGAATCGGAGGAATTGCATAGGTAGGTAGATTATATTTACAGACAAAGTCGGATTCTATGAAGCAATGGGAGGAACCACAATCTACAAGAGCTGGAAAGTCAGAAATATCGGAATACATAGGGATGGAAACATATGGACAGAGAGAGTTCGGATCGGACAAGGAAACAGTGTTGAGTTGTAGCTCCATTGCACAGGTTGAGTCAATGCGACCCTCATCCCATGTGGAGTCAGGAGGGTCGTGGATTATTTTTTCGCCTTGTCCAAGGCATCCAGTTTGGTTTCCAGATCGACTGTAGCCGCACAACCTTTGGTAGTGCACGAAGTCAACTTTGTGCAGTCCCAAGCAGTATGCCCAGGTCCACCACAGAACAGACAGAGCTTCCTGTCCAGCCTTCTCTGACACTCTTGGGATGTAAGCTTTCTGTCCTTACCCAACTTGTTGCTGAGGTCTGGAGCTTTAGAAGTGGAGGTAGTGGACGAAGTCATCTTTCTGGATTTGTTGTTTCCAGAGGAGGCACTTCCGGATCCGGACACATTGGCATTGGTCCGTTCAGAAGACTTGGCAGGAGGATTGGGTGCGGAGGATTTGGTTTCATGGGAGATCTCTCCCTTGCATTCCCAATAGTGGGCATCAATGGTCTGCGCAAGGGTTTTGTATTCCGAGAGTGTGCCAGGTTTTCCCATGCAACTGATTTCATCCTTGATACAAGCAGGAAGTCCATTATAGAATTGTCAGCATAGGGCTCTGTCACCCCATCTGCAGACCTGAGAGGCAAGCCATTGGAATTCTACAATGTACTTGTTGATGCGCTGTCCATTGCGCATATTGAGTTGCTTGAGCTGTATTTCCACATCTCTGGAGGGGTCATGAGGTCCAAAATTGGTCTGGAGTTCAAGCATGAACTCAGAATAGTCATCCATCCAGCCCAGATGATTGGTAGGTTCATTGGAAAGGAGGTCGGGTTCGAACCATTCAAGGGCCATTCCTTTGAGATAGGATTGGGCGAAATTGACTTTAGACCTTCTGGTATGGAAAGTGTTGGGTTTGCTCTGGAAGTTGAGCTTGCACTGGACAAAGAATGCATGAAGTTTCTGGGGCTTGGTGCCATCAAAGACATCTGGCTCCTGGACCTTGACTTTAGGATCTTTGAGGAGGGTGGTGTGACGATTGTTTTGGGTGAGATTGTTGATAGCTCTGGATAGGAGTACCATAATGTGATCCTGTGGACCCAGGCCATCATCTCTATCATCATTGTCTTCATCATCCGGATCATCATCCAGATTTCCACTGTTACCATCTGGCAGGTTTCCACCAGGGTCATCATGATCAATGTCATCATCATCCGGATCTCTTTGGCCCAGAGGGGCTAGGGCTGGAGTCCATGTAGGGGTCTCTGGATGTTGACAACTCAGAAGCTCTGAGATGCTTCTGGCAGTAGCATGCTGGCTAACACAATGCTGTGAGAAGCTATTGAAGGTTTTGATGATAGGAGTGGAATCATGGTGGACGTATACTAACCCAGCCGCTTGGAGAGTGTTTGCAGTTTTGGTTGGAGCCATAGGAAGTGTAAGTATACTCAGTAAGGTGTGAGTTCAAATATACTGTTAAGGTCATACTCAAGGGATAACTGGATCTGAAGGGCTTTGGCCTCAGCTCATGCGCTGTGCCCCTTACTTGAGTATTGCCCCTTATTTCAGGAAGGCAAGACTAATGTGTCTGGAAGGTTGGACAAGTAGTGTAGCGGATCTGGATGACTTCCGGATGAGGGATAAGTATCGTAGGGCTAATCCAGAAGAATCCAGACTAGAAACTAACGGTAATGGACTGTCGGAGACAGAGGCGGATATGGATAGACTATAGGAATCAATCCTAAGTCTCGGAGGGTGACGAGAGTAGAGATACTCAAGTCTGGAGGACAGGAATGAGTAGAACTAGGATGATATTCGAACTGAGGTACTACAGAAAGTTACAGGAGGTTATATACTATAGGTATCTAATGGAATGATCAATCAGCAGAGTCCGAGGCTATGTACAAAGCATATGGATGGTCTATTGGTAAGTAGAAATGGATCACAAATGATGAAATGGAAATGAAACATAGGTAACAGATCAGGGAGCAGGACAGATATGTGGATAACCGAAATACCAGAGTTAGGGGATTACCAAAAAGAGACGAGCACTGGTTGTGGATTTGGATGAGTTGTGGACCGGATTGGACGAGTGGACAGGATGGATGATGAGATGTTGGAGGGAGATAAGATGTGGATAGGATCTGAGATGTGGATCAGATCTGAGATCCGGATATGCGGATATGACAGTCTCCATATGTTCCTGATAATATTCTAGTGAGACTAGCTACTCTTTTTTGTCCCTCATATTCCTACCCTCAACCATGTCCTCTAGTCCTACCAATGAGCCACAATTTCAGACTGTCCTTGGTCGTGGGCACCATGCTAAAAATACCACATGCTTGACTGAGAGCATCATGGCAGAATTGAAAGGTAGTCAAGATGTTCCTGCCACAAAGTCTAAGCCACACCAGAGAACCAAGAAGTCTGAACCTCTCTCAACTTGCCTGTGATGTCCTTTCAATACCTGGTGAGTACTTACTTCATGTTCCAGGTGTCTGTACTTAGTTCTCTTCTTTGTAGGATCTGCTGTTGCTGTCAAACAGATTTTCTCTGGTGGTCATGATACAGTTTCACTGTGGCATGCAAGTCTCAAGCCTGAGACCATCAGAACATTGATGCTCATGAAGGCAAGGCTTTGTTTAGCTCATTTGGCACTAAATGAGCTTGTTCATAGTTGATTTATATTCTGTATGTACCATACACTACTGCATACATCCATATAATACTCCATACCATACCATTTGCTTTGCCCACTGCCAATACCATGTATGGTATATGGGTTCACTGTCTACTGTACTTCCACTGTATGTGTACAGCCATCTACTGTATACAGTATGGTGTGCAGCCCTAGTCCTGAGCTCCTAATACACTGTCCCCACTGTTAATAAGATGCTGGGGACAGTTTATTCAAGTCAGTATAGCTAGAAATTTAAAAAAATTGGGCTGATTTTGTGTTTTCTGTGCACATACTGTACCTGTTGATGTAGGGCGCTTCAGTGGGTCAAATAAAGATTGGAATCTCTTAATATATGCTCCTAAACATGTTTTGAATGTCCTAGGACACTTCCATATCAAAGGGGCAAAAATGCGAAAGTGTTCTATACCCCACCCTATTTTGAATGGCCCCTGGAGGAGGAGCAGGCATACAAAAAAACAAAAAAACCACTCTATTATATTATATTATGAACATATATACCAAACTACTACATATATATATATAGGGGGAGCTATTGTGGTGTGGTGGTGAAGCTGCAGTGAGGTGGGGAGAGTGTGGGAATAATTATAATTGTGGGATATACCATATTGGGTAATGTTTTGGGTGTTGTGGGGTAATTCCCACACTGTGTGACTGAAAAATGCGGTGTGGGAATAGTGTGGGGAGGAGGAGACCAAAATGGGATAAGTTTTGTGAATTTCCGCTTTTGGAAGCCAAAATTGCGGTCATTGCCTGAGGTTTAAAAATAGCTAATACATTACACTGCCAGTTTGGGTAGGAAGGTAATGCAACCTACACTTAGCATGGCCACCTGTGACTCCCATGTACTGCCTCTAATTAGACATGATTATAGATAGGGTTAGCACGTTTAAAATGATGGACTTACAGCATTTCTAAGCCTCCTCCAATATCTCTTGGTTAAAGACTGACTTATAATAAAAGCAAACAGCTGTAGCCCTATGTAAGCTGGTGTGAGACATTGGCTCTAATGCAGGTAATGTTCCTGATGTTGGCTATTCTGCACCTGCTGTGTGAACCTTCATGCTCACCATCATACACGATGAGCACAATATTTCAAACATATCAGAGGCTCATTTGGACATAGTGACAGCTACTGATCATACAAATATTTATGATATATATGGAAGGGTAGCAGGGTGCCCTACTCTCCCTTGCCCTCATCCTCAAATGGCATGACAAACTCTGAACTTTTGGTGGCCTCCTGACACTGGGTGCTGGTATGCTTTTTTGCCTTCTTTGATGGACCTCTGTTCTCTTTATTTCCCAGTCCAGTGGTAGGTGTGCCCTTGCGCTTGCAAGGGATTCCAGCATTGGAATGTTTCTTGTGTGGCTGCCAAACGACTTCCCCTGCCAAACGACACACATCAAGTGCAGCAGTATGAGCCTTGACCTCTGCTGGGGTCAGAGCACTCCAGTAACATGTCTTGGCCCTCAGCATATCATGGAGCTTGTGAATTTTGCCGACAGTCCCGATGCTTGAAGAATTGATAAATTTGACAGCCTGGGGCCATCCTACCAGGTGGACCGCATATGTTTCGACAATGGCCATATTGTAGTTGTTGTAATTCATTGTGATGTCCTTTTTGCCTGTTATTGCAACTGTAAATATGTCAGACAGCACTCACACACACTAATGAATGTTGTCACATACCCAGTCCTCAGACAATCAATCTTCAAACTTGCTTTCGGACTGATTCCAAAGAGTCACATTCATTAAGATCTTGAAAATACTCAATAAGAACAAAATATTATTGTGAGGAGTCAGATAACTTACTTTGATTCTGTGTACATGCCCATTGTTCGTATTGTCAGAGAACATCAGCCATCAGAGACTCATAAACATCCTCCCAGAAGTCTTCAGAATTGTCAGTACCATGCATCGTGCTTTGAATAGTGTCATTGATGTGGCCCTGAACAACAAAGAGGGTTCCATAGGTTCCAGTCCGAACATGCAAATTGTTGAGCTTTGAAATGAAGATAAGTTCAGTAGAGTACATGTGATAGATGGTGAGCTCACCTCCTTGACAACCCTTTCTGTTGTGGTCAAAACATCTTGTGCAGTAGCTATGTTATTTGCTTGCACACTACTTACCTTTTTGTCACAGTGCTCACTAAGAATGGCCACATAGGCAGCCTTCTCATCCCTCGTCAAATCTTGCATGTCAGCATCCTCAGCAACCATTTTGTGCAGCTCAGGCAATATATACCTAGAGCTGTCTTGTTGTAATAGGATGTAAATATAACTGCAAGAGAAAGCAAAGTAATTTGGCTTACCATTATTCACCTCCTTAGCTTTGGCATGAATTAATGCATTAGCCAGGGTAACCTTGTGTGCTGTGTGATACTTGGTCTGACTGCTGATCATGTCATTGATATATTTTGGAGTGACATTGTGAGTGAGCGAGAGCGATGCAACTGCATTGTGTAAATGCTTTATAATTGCAGTCCTCTGATCCTTCTTGATTTTCCGAGAGGCCTTCTCAGCATCTGACAGCCAAGGCAGTGGAGTCTGGCAATGAAGCATGGGACATGTTGGGTTTTCTGCTGCCCACATGGATGAATTTGCATCATGGGTGAGCTCTGACGGTGCCTCTTCATCAGCAGGTGATGGCGCGCGAGAGGACAATGTGAGTTGATGTGCCTTGGGTGAAACATCAGCAATGATGGGAGTAGGACCATGTGGAAGGGCTGGTCTATCATTGATGGCTGCTAACTCATCTCTTGTCAGTGGCATTGTGTATAGTGATGGGTCCTCCCAGTTGATATTGCCCCAACATTGGGGCGCATGACTCAATACTGTTTTTTGAAGGTCAGTACTAAGAGTGGGACATGTACATATACAACACCACACCTCCATTTTCATCGAGGAGTCCTGTGAAATATTCAGGTCCTGCACCAGTGAAGAAATTTACATTGGCATTGAAGTTGTCTTCAGAGAAAATGTAGCTCATAGTAGTTGTCTGTAGGTAGGAATGAGTGTTGTTGTGGGGATGCAATTAGAAAAAAAAGGTGCTTATCTTGAGAACCCGAGCCTATTCCAGGATCAGGACGACATAGTCAAGTCATTGAAACCCTACAAGAAAATGGCATATGTGAGTCAACAATGGAACAACACAAATTAAAAAAAGGCACTTACCTTGAGAACCTGAGAACAAGGCCCCACAGATTAGGACGACACAATCAGGTCATCCAAACCCTATCAAAGATGGTATCAGTACTGATTGCTACAGTTGCAATAATCAATTGAAAAACACACACAATATGTCTTAGGTTGCCAATTAGAAAAAGAAATGGGTGAATCTAAGGTCTGGAAGCTCATATATAGATTCAGATTTAGTAATTTTGGGAGGAAGTTTTTTGATCAGGGGCAATAGTGGTAAGTACACACCTCTGCTGGGATAACCTCATCGTGATCTTTTGATCCAACTTGGATGCCAATGGTGTTGTTCAGATGGTTTGGAGGCAATAATACATATCTCTGCTGGGATCACCTCGTTGCGATCTTTTGATCCAACCTGGATGCCAATGGTGTTAGGATAGTTTGGAGGCAATATCTCTGCTGGGATAACCTCATCGCAGTCTTTTGATCCAACCTGGATGCTGATGATGTTCAGTTGGATAGTTTGGATGCAATAATACACATCTCTGCTGGGATGAGTTTGTTGCAATCCTCTGATCCAACTTGAATACTGGTGGTGTTCAGATAGTTTCATATATAACATTGGGTGGGGGTGCCAGTAATACACATTTCTACTGGGGAATCCCAAGGTAAGTCACTGTGATTGATTCAATATATGGTCAGACAGGTTGAACTAAGAGAAAGTCTCGAAACATATTTTTCCCTCCCCCAAAGCTATGGTAAGTCTCAATTTTTCAACTCAGTTGTATAATACTTAACATGCATTCTAAGGCTCATAAGCAGGATCCTCCTGTTAGTATGAGCAGGCAGTGCTTGGCTACCAAGCATTGGCTTGTGAAGCCAGGGTAATTTGTTTCTTCTCAAGTTCACTGAGATTGTACTTCTGAGACAGCTATTTCAGAGTTCGAGATATGCAAAATGCAAAGGCATGTGTTCGGATGGCCAAGTCAGTCCCTTAACTCTCAGTCTGAAGTCAAAATTTTGTACTTAAACCCAATTAAGCAGGCAGGCAAGGTCAAATCACTTCCATTTACTGATGTCCCTTGCTCTTGCTGACCACATCCATAGAAAAAACAAGACACAAGCCCCTCATGCTGCAGGACAAAATATACACTGTGCCATCCCTTCTGTCACTTCACCTATGCTTGAAGGTCTGCATTCTCGCAGTACCACTCCCAAGGTCGATGATGGATCTATACTTACCATGGAGAATGGTCTCCCTTGTTCCTGCAATTTGCTAATCCTGCAAGACATCGAGAACATGGCCAACTGCTGGCAAAAGGGGTGGGTTGAGAAGTCTGAGCATTTGTGGGATGGTGCATATGAGAAACTGCTTGAAGGTGCACAAAAGGAGGGGGAACAAGAGGCCACCATCTTTCTTGATGATTGTAGTTTACATGCTTGTGAGGGAAGGACACTCCTCAAAAGTATTCAAGACATTGTGAACACCAATTGCCCATACTGTAGGGAGCGCCTCAAGTATGATATCATTGTATTGCACAATTTGCTTATTTGTATTGTTTCAGAGGTCAAATTCTTTGAAGTTAAAGTAGCTAACAGTAAAAATAAGTAGTCTGTGACTATACATTAAATGATGTTATATTGAATCAATGGTGAACAAATATTGGATTGATAGTGAACAGACAATGCATTGATGGTGAATGCATAGTGAATTTGTAGTGAACATATAGTGAGTCCGTAGCAAACATATAGCGAATTGATAGTGAACATTGTTGTATCTCTAGAATATTGCACTCATATAGAAGTCTAAATCAGTCCAAACCACACCAACTGCAAGCAAGGTCAGTATCTGTTATACTGAATGTATGGCAAGTGCAGTGGGCCTTGATGATTGCATGTCACTGGCAAATCATTAACTACAGTTGTGTCAGGATACTACTACATCTGGACTCTTAAGGTAATGCAGCTGTGTGGTCCAATGTCATTCAGTCATCTGTGTCAATTTCATAATCACACAAAGTAGCTTGCACATTTTGTGAACTGAGTATAAAGATTCCATCACTAATGTATTACAAGCAAGGACTACATATGTACATGGTTGATACAGTGTACTACTATGAAAGTATCTAAAGTTCACAGGATGACATCGTCTCCGACAAGTCATCTACCTGAGACTACAGGTCATCCAAGTCAGAGGACAAAGATAGGGAAGGTGGGGATGGAGACACCCAGAAAGGACCACCTGGAGTTGGGATAGCTTGCAATCTGCCTTCATTATATTGAGTGGTATATACTTCAAGCGCCTTCTGAAACAAAGGGTACCGCTTCTGAATGTTACTGCTAACAAAATGGGTGCGCTCAGCCACATCAGCCCTAATATTAGCATCAATATTATTATCAATGAAAATTTTGATAATGCTCACCAGTGGTAGAATATACCAACTTCTTGGCCAACTGTGACTACCCAGAACCCTTCAGGTTCTAAATCAGCACATGGGGGTATGATGTCACTGGGTTTTGGGACTTGTATGGCCAGCATTGAAGGAAGTGTGACATCCGTAGATAATTATGCATATGATGGTGGACTCGAAGGTGACAGGGAGTCTTGTATACATGAGCTAGTAGATGAATTGGGCGCAGGAATGGTTCGACTGACATGTGAGGAGTTCATGTGCAATGATTTGGACAGGATGATAGTTTCTTCAATGGTCTTGCGCTTCCATGTAATTGTGTCCAATGCTGAATCTGTTTGAAAGTGAGCATGCAGTTGATTGTCAGATAGTATAGACACATGACCCACCTGATATAGTCATGCCTTCCAGTAATTGGCACAAGTCCTGGACATGATCACTGTGGGAGGTGGTGACAGGTGGCAAAGGAGTGCATGACATGGCAGATATGAGAAACTGAATGAAATGGTTGGTTGAAAAGGGGGATAGACGGCAATGTGCACTAATAGTGTTTATGATTAGTCGCATAACCCAACATCCAAAAAATGTACATACCTGGCTTGTCTGGGGGGGAAAAAAATATGCAGAACCCTGGACGTCAAAGACGAGTTCGCACTAACCTTTCCTTGCAGTCTATCCACCACATAGGCTCTTCGTGAGGTAAGGATGGGCTTCCCACCAACTGTGTGTTGAAGGTGGTCAAACACAGGGCATTGGTTCTCCAAGCAGTGAGCTGTAAACAGCGGCGGGAGACTTGCCTACAAGGTGAGTATCCAGGCACTCAAAAACATCAAGACACTGACCTGGTTTATAGCCATGATAGCCAATGAATGCCAAGCTCTGGAAGCTCTCAGAGATCCCCCAACCTTTCCACCTAACATTGACAAGGACTCTGAAGATTTCAATATCGGTGATATATGTGATGGTACCAACACACTCCCTATTAGCCATGCAGGGGAAGAGTTTGGAGACCTTGCAAGTGGTGTTCTTGGTGAGGTTTGTAGATTGTAAGTGTGTGTTCATTGACCAACAGTAATTGACACGTACATCAGAAAAGGTCAAGATGGTCCTCACAAGGTTCAACATGTCGAAAATCACAGAAAGGCTTTAAGATTTTTTTGGATCACCTATGCAGCGAAGGGACTGATGATGTTAATGGTGGTCAATGGCCAGTAACTGTAGTAGACACATTATGTGAGTCACTAGTTGGTGGTTTTGATGCTGATGTGAACAGTGAACAGTTGCTGAGAAATTCATACTCAAAATATCATCAACCGACACTACCATTGCTTCTGTGCTCATTTGTCAAGGCATCATGCCTTGCTCCCCAATATCGCCTGTCATGGGCATAACATTAGAAGCCCTTGAATTATATCAGGTGGTGCACCTCAGGAGCCCTCACTTAGCAATTCAAGCTTTTATCAAGACTATATGTGATTTACTTGGGGTATGTTTAAGTTCTCACTTCAAGTTCTATTGTGCAATGTGCTAAATACAGACAGGTTGAATTCCAATGGCACCTCTCACATCAATTTTTGATTGCACTTGACTTATACCTTCAAATCAGATGGGTCGTAGCTTCACTTGTAGCCAAATCACTCCGACACAACTCACCTGACTGGCGCCTCAAACATGCATGTCCGGCATGCACTTACATGCTAACTGATGAAAACCAGCTACACTTCAAGATTCTATACACTATGGATGGGAATGATTTGTTAAAATGTATTCTATGATGCTCACTCGATGACAATAACAACTCTCTCAGTGTATTGGCTGAGCTTCCCACTGGCCAGCTATTTGTTAGTGACCATTATTTATCTTGTAACTTCATAGATGAGTTTGCATGGGATACCCCATCAGCTACAGGAAATGATGTGAGTGATTGATGCAGAGCTTCTGTAGAAACAACTAACACAATCAGCATCCGACAATTGACTCATGCGAAGGCTGGTGGCAAAACATGGATGATGGGAAGACTAAGAAATCATGGGGCATTTACAATGAAACTGGCATCTTTGTTGCTGTGTGCCGCCATGGCTTGTGTTTACTCATCACAGACATGGTGCAGAGCAGGGAGCTGTAAGTAATACATACTTTTGTTTTATGTTTCTGATTGGTGTTCTGATAGTGCAAAGTACCCCCTGGCTGTTGTAGCCAAGCTACTAGATGCATTTGGTGACAGTCTGGGCGGTGGTTATGACATTGGCTGTCAATTTGAGACCACTCTCAATAACAGCTCTGTTGGACCCCTCGTGCACTCATTCCATCATACTTGCCTGGTTGGCGCATTTCATGGACATGTGCACAGGTGAATATGTCAGCTTTCTTCATTGACCACCTATGTCAAAGGTCTTGGGATCAAAGACCTGGAGACTTGTGAGCAGACATTTTCAAAGTCAAACTCCCTGGCCTTGGATCCATGGTATACTAGTGTCTTCCACCATCAGCAGGCTATTGATTCATATTTTGAGCATAATGACGAGCTTGAGATATATGGGAACCTTAGTATGTTGGTCTCTTTATCATATATGAGCGCTCACTAACATAATTATTTGGTAGTTAGCAAATTTCTTGTACAATAACTATAAGCAAGCTCTTGAGATTCTGGCAAATGGCAAAACTGTCCCACCAAAGGTTATGCAAGACCTCGGAGTTGAGGACAAGAGTGTTTTTGAATGTTGGCCTGAACAAGAGAAAATTTACCTTAAGGGTCTGGCACAAGAGCCCGAAGAAGAGACACTTCAGATGGAATACTGGCAGTCATTAGTGAATCTCAGTGCAAGCGGGTAAGTTTTACTTTGACATATCTCATTGTTACTGATACCCTCAAACAGTGTCACTCTCGATGCAGCAATGAACATGTTTGGAATGCCTTCTCAGCCCAACAATCTACCATATGACACAGATACTGGAAGTACACGCAAAATTGAGAGCATGCGGCACCACAGGTTCATACCCACCACAGCTGGAGAGGTTCAAGGGCAGCATACTACTACAATACCACATGACTATTCAAATATTCAAACCCAGCACAACCTTATTCCTCAACCTCTCCAGCAGCGGCTGGCACAAAACATTTGTAAACAAAGCTCAGCCACTGTGGCAGGAGATGTGGCACACTGCTAAATGTAGATAGAATACATTAATACAAATTTATTTACCAACACAAATTTCCTTCTTGGTCACATTGGCAGAATCATGCCCCAAAACCCCTAGTCAGACTCTCATCCAAGAAAAACTGCACAAGTAGTTTGGCAAGAGGGCATGCCTGTGGCAGCTTAAGGTTGCTGAGGTATTCCTGAAGAAAGCTGGAGATGTTATCTGCATTGCTGGCACAGGAATGGGAAAAATGCTTGCCTTCTGGTCGCCACTTGCACTCATGGACACTGGCATTCAAATTGTCGTCACACCACTCAACCAACTTGGACACCAGAGTGTCAGCTTCCTTGCAAAAGCTGGTATCAACAGTATCTCTATATCTGCTGAGATGGCAAGCCTTGTCAACTTCCAAGTAAGTCTGCCTATGATTTTGCTTACCCAAACTTGCTCAACCACTCACAGGACATTGATGACATGCGCTACCGTGCTATCATAACCAGCCCCAAGCAGTTGGTGAAGGCTGGTGGAGAATTTGAAAAGCTCCTGCAGAAACCCACTTTCACATCACAGATAATGGGGTTTGTGTTTGACGAAGCTCACTGTATCACATCCTGGGGAGAATTTTGCAGTGAATATAAAGAGCTCAAGCGCTTGTGGTACATCTTACCTTGCTATGTTCCATTCATGATTGCATTGACCATGCCCACACCCAATACCCTGCAAGATGTGCAGAGGTTGCTTCATATGTGTTCAGAGAATCTCTTGCTTGTCCATATGTCCACAGATCAACCAAATATCAAAATCTGTGTGTGCAAAATTAGATATTCTCTCTCATCATACACGGACCTGGCATTCCTCATACCTACAGGTTGGACAACAGGGGATCAAGTCCCACCAAAGTTCCTCATCTTCTTTGATAGCATCCAGGACACAATTAGAGCAGCAAAGTACTTGCAGAGTTGGCTTCCACCTGAACTGCGAGAGAAAATCAAATGGTTCAACTTGGACATGACATCGAAATTCAAGGAAGTGGAGGTTGACAACCTGGTGACCGGAGATACATGGGGACTCTGTATGACAGAGTCATTTGGAATGGTGAGTTGTCATTGTTGCATGGACTCATATTCAACATTGACATTCAGCAAGGGAATGGATGTACCAAATATCACCCTGGTCATCCAGTAGCAAGTGACATGCAAGTTGTTGACAGTCTGGCAATGTTTTGGACGTGCTGTCAGAGATCATGTGCTGCAAGGGACAGCATTATTGTTTGCTGAGAAAGAACACTTTGATGATGTATGTGAAGAGAAGTGGAAGCATCAGCAGAATAAAAAAAGGAAAGCAGCAGATGTAACCAGCAAGCTGCCAAGCAACGAGTCATTGAACAGGGTTCAACTATCCCTGTCCTGCCACCTATGAGTGCTCAAACTACTGAGCCAGATGCTGACATCATGATGGACATGGGAGATAGTGGGCTGAGTACCACCAATACCTTGGGAAATGCGAGTGTAAGCGATGCACAGCTCAAAGAGTTGATGAAACCAAACATAGAAGTTGCCTCAAAGCAGAAGAAGCAAAGGGAATTGGATCCTGCAATGGATTGGCTGATCAATGCACACTTGCAGAGGATTGGATGTCGCCATAAAGTGTTTGACTTACATTTTTATAATGTGTCTGCTGTAGTGGGTGAGAATGTCTTCATAATTCTTCTGAACCCCTGTGTAATTGACTCAATTGAATAGATCATCTTGCATGTGACCAAACAATCACTGGGTGTTCTCATTGCGCCCCCATGACTCCTGATGTGTGCTGTGACATCCATCACCCATTTGCCTTCCCATTATTTGACACTCACAACCCACAACCACCTAAACTCCCTAACTGCTCTCACCTCCCTAACTACAGTATGGGCCCAAAGGAGTATGAGCTGTGTGAGGTGCTGGAGGATTGGAGAGAAGAGAAAATGGCAGAGAAATATGGCCATTCTCACCTCATTGACATCAGTCTGTCTATCATCATGTCAGATTCAATTCTCAATCACCTTGTCAACTGCACACATCACAAGAAGATCAAGACCATTGAAGACTTTCACAAGGAAACTCACTGGCTGGCCACAGACAAATATGGGCCTGAAGTTCTTGCCATCATACATCGCATAATCCCTGTCAAAGTCATCAGTGTGGCCTTAACCAACACTCCCTTACAGTGCCGCCCTCTTTCAACTGTTGCCAACCCACCAAGGGGTGGTAATGTCACCCTTCCATCAACAGTTTCAGCAGTAAAGAAGACGAATAGGTGTAGCGCTTGCCAACAGGAGGGCCATAATAGTACATATTGTTACACTCTCTGTAGTACCTCTTCTGGACTTACTTGCTCACCAGAACACAATCGCATCTGCCTACTACATCCCACACACAACACGACTCACACATCAACTACTGACAAGGAAAATGTACATGTTTTCATGCAGTCATCTCATCCATGATGTTTCTTAACTGTTCTTGGTAGACTTTATCAAATAATATTGCACAAGACTCATAATTCTACCGCAAGATCTTCTATTAATGCATGTTCATTTCAGACATCGTCCATGTCCACATCCACATCCATAGCTCCCTCTTCCGCTCTGTCCTCTGTGTCTGCTCCATCCCTGGCACTCATCAATTCCTGTCCCTTTGCAAGGAGGTCAGGGACCTTATGGTGACTCTTCCTTCCATGTTTCACTTCATTGGCAGAATGCCCAGCCATGTATGTACATAGTGCTTGAAAAGTTTTTGCCATGTTTGATTCACCATGTTGTGCTGAGAGGTTGTTGTGCAAGAAATTGCTTTGAAAATTGCTGTGCAGGTTATGGTATATTTGCACTAGTGGAAACTCCAATATGATGCATGCTACTGTGCGGTTTGAGCCCTTGCCTCCATTGATCACCTGTACCTCACATCACTTCACCATCTTCACAGCAATGAGGTGAACACACCTTTGTGAATAGATTATTTAGCTCCATGCACCAGTCAACCCCACAGAATTTACCCTTCTTCCCTGTGGGGTTGATAAGGATATGATAATGAACCATGCGTCTACAAATTGTAAGTCAATGTCTCCATTTGATTGCACTTAACTTGACTTACTTTAAACCTTCAGGATATACAAAGTGCACATTACATAAGAACTCCGACATTACATTGGCATACTTGTGTTTACCAGTAGCTTTGAATATCAATATCCATGTAATGAGGCAAGTCTCCAGTCGTCCAATATCACTGAAGTTCATCGCATATGACAACTCTTCATACAGAAGCACATATTTGTTTAGAAGGAGGCCATTTTCGTGTTGCTGGTCATGCTCCGCTGCTGACTTGTTCTGCATACATCGAATTTTGTGATCAGCAACATAATGCTGTGCAAGTGAGTCTGCCATCTTTTGTAGTTCTTCATATGACAGCTCTGATGCTGCGAATGCCTCGAGATCTGTACAGTTCGTGTCGTGTTTTTGGGCCTCAACTCTCCAACAATCAAGATGGCAGCATATGCCATCATACCCAATCAACTGATGCATTTGCCGAAACCCTGGTTTCGTCCCATAAAGGCCCATCTCCTTGGGACACAACACACCCATGTCTCACATGAGACTTGTCTCATTGAGATGCACTGCACTAGATTGCAGAAATGTTCGCCATATAGAGTCTGCCGCTGCCATCTTCAAATGGAACATACCAGGGACGAATACAACATGTTGAAATCAATCCCAAGGTGTGTTTTTGATCACACAGCACTGCTGTACCACTTGGAGCCATTCACCTGTGCCTAGGTCACCATGGAACAGAACAACATACTCTGAGATGTTGGGGATCTCAGGATCATCGAAGGTGTCAGGTTCCATGATTCTGCCTTGCTCAAGTAAGTTGATAACACTCTGTATATTGCCAGCAACAGTGGAATTGCTAACATCCATTGCTAATGCAGCTATAGTGGGTGTTTTAATGACAGGGATGCCTTCAATGAGCTCTGGTTCATGCAGCTGGTCTTTAAACTGCATGAAGTATGGAGGTCCGTATGTTACGAGGTTGAAGAGAAACTTCCACAAATTGAAGTGGTCACAATGGGTAAGTCCTGATGAATTTGGTGTGTCTGGTTGAAGGCTGAGCAAGTCCTTCCACCCCCGTTTTGGCAACACTTCTGCTCGAAGGTTGAGAGATGACTTCAGCCATAGCTCCTCGGAACATTTGAGATCTTCTTGCGAGGTGCAGTGCTGCAGAGGGAACATTAACCCAGATGTAAGATGTTTCAGTGATTTGTTCAAGTTTTCAATTTTGTGCTCATGAGATTTCAGGTCAATGTCAAAGTTGTCGTATGCATAGGCAGCAAGGAGTGATTGTCCAAGCGAGCAGAGTGTGTGGTGAGTTTGTGCTGATAATGAGTGTGTGGCTGCGAATATTGCATTAACAGATACAGAGACTCCCATTCATTCAAGTGTCTCAATTACTTTCTGCAGGGAGTGTGTGGACTGCAGGAACATCCCCATCAAGCTTTGCAAGGTATTGGATCTCTGGTTTGTGCTTCTCATAATTATACTCATAACTGTTACTTTTCTCTGTAGATTAAGCATCAACTTCAATGTCTTTGATATCAAAGGCTGAATACATACCAGCAAGGCTTTTGCTTTCCACTGATTCTCAACACTGGATTCTGCATCATTGATGAGTCCAGAAATGATTCCTTCGAGATCTCCTTCACCAAGCTCCTCCCAATAAGCTTCTTCGTCACTATCCATGCCTGCCTCGAGCTGATGCTCATCATGGTCTTTTCCCGCACCTATTTTTTGGGCTGTTCTCATGGACAAAGCTGTATCAAGGAAGTCCCATGTTACAGGTGCGAGTTTCTCCATGTCTTTAGCTAGTTCCTCGATACTGAAATCCTCTAATTGCTCCAGTACTGTATGCACCACATCAAAATGATAGCCACTCTCCTTCGCTGACAGGACCACCATTTTGCGTGCAGAGACATCCTTGATGAGATCTGTCACCCATTTAAGCTCAGTACTCAGAGAATCCTCTGCACTCTTCAAAAGAGCATCAAGAATTAACTGTTTATTTTGTAGGATATCTTTCACTGCAATATGGTTAATATACTCCTTGTTGGCAAGCAGCTTGAGCAGAAAGTTAGATCTTGAGATTCCAACAAGCTGAAGAGTGTTGAGGACTTCATCTATCGGTGCACTGGATGACATACTAGTGACACCAATATTAATTACAATACACTACATTAATATACATATACCTACATATTCTACTACTTTTCAGACTCCGTTTGACACAGCTGCAGTGGCTGTTACAGTCATGTATGCCCCTATTCATTTTCTCTTTACTATCCTTGTATTACGTCACAAGCAGCATGTTGCTGCTGCTAGACTTATCTCTGACTCACTTGTATTACATCATGATTGCTGTTGCCGTCGCTAGATGACTCATTCCTTATCTCTGACTCATTGTTGACTTATGCCTGCCCTAAACCATCTACAGTTCCCTATATATAGTCAACAATGTACTTAGTAGTTCTTTACTTTAATCTTACTAGGTTTTCACCTGAAACATCTTTCGCTTAGGACCTCCAATCCTAAGTCATCTGAACTGATATTCAAGTCAAAGACACTCTCTTTGCCTTGTCTTATGACCCTTGCATTTGCAAGGTCTTGACTATAACTTCAGCCGTCGCTCTTATCGAGCTGCTGTTGTTACAACCATCCTAGTTCATAACAGTGGCTGAGCTTTGTTTACAAATGTTTTGTGCCAGCCACTGCTGGAGAGGTTGAGGAATAAGGTTGTGCTGGGTTTGAATAGTCACATGGTATCTACTACTACAGTTTTTTGTACACTGTCCTCAAACCTCTCCAGCTGCAGTGGGAACAAGCCTGGTGGCACCATGCTCTCGAGGTCTATGACAGAAATTTAAAGTTAGTTCAAGCTTTAGAAAGTAAACTCAGTGTGAAAGAGAAATAGTGACTAGGCTTGCTAGAAACTAGCACTACATATCCAAATAGGTGCAAGTGTAGTATTTGACCCAAGAGGACTGCTAATGAAGCAACTTCCTACTAGTATGCAAGGGGAGTGATAGTGCGAAGGACTAATAACCTATAGCAACCTAAGACCAAAAAGAAAAAAAAAACAATGAGTAGTGCTATAGCAATCAGCGACTAGCGACTAGCAGGTTTCGACAAGAGAAACATGTGTATAAGTGAGGGGTGCTATGCAAGTTGTTCTATGCGATAACGCTATGCAACACCCGACTAGCAACAGCGAGAAGAAATCAAGGGGAGCGAAAATGAGGAGTAAGGTAAGACAGTGCAAGTGGAATGCCTGATAGCAACTAGATTATAGCTTGACTACCAATAGTGACCCCAATGCTGCGAAAGTCAAACTTTCTAAGAAGGAACTTTAGTGACGTGCACTTAGAACAAGTCAAGCGACATGTGATCAAAGAGTTTGGAAAGAGCGGAATCAATTGCACTAAAACTAGGATATAGCGACTAAAGTGACGCCTACACCAGTAAAGGTCCGGAGAAGGGAAGTACTGTACTGTATGTAGGATGGGTCATTTTATCATACTGCATAGGGGTTCGGGATTGCATAGGCGAGTATAGTAGCAACACTGGCGAGGGCATGATGTAGTGACAGGTAATAAAACATGCAGCACTGCAGGACACAAGGACACATATAATAAGACCTGTGACTGATGAGTAGTGACATTTAAGGAAAAATAATGCACCAGCAGAGGTAGGTGGACATAGGCAGGACATGGGGGGATGGAATACCTAGGCATCAGACTGAGTAGTGCACTATGGGAGAAAAGTGGTTCCAAAGTGGATAGCTTGCGAGCTGAATAGCGCTGGTGACTTGCACCTTACTCTTTTCCTCTGGACAAGGCAAAATATGCCTATGACACTCATACGCGCCTAGCACTGGTATGATTGTCACATCAGGATCATCACTTGCTGGGTTCCAGATGATGGAGAGTGGCAGAGGGTGGGGAGGCTCGTAGCCAATAGGAAGTATCAACATGTGCTGGACCGTCTAGAAGGTTTGGTTGTTGCTCGTATATTTGAACTTTTGAAGATGAACAGGGCAGGGACAGGTGAGTTTAAGTTAGGCTTGACTTGTTTCAGCTAATTACATCTATATTCAAGGTTACAAACTATGAAAACATATTGCAAAGGCTTTGCAGACACACTCCACTGCCATCAGATCTGCCCTGAACACATACAACAACCTTGCTAGTGCAGTGTATTCTCCCCAGAAAATGCTGAAGTGGGAGGAGGTTGTGGAGTATGCCCCTCTTGCTGACTTCAAGCTGCTATGACACACACACTCTGATATCTCTCAACTGCCTTGGTCTTCACCAGCAGCTCAGAGTAGGATGGATCTTCATTTCAAGATGTGCCAAGCACATGAGGAGATTTGTTGTCTGGATATTGAGGTTCACCATCTCATGACCTATATACGAGATGAAGACAAGTATCTGCGGGTGTGTGAAGATCGACTAACAGTTGCTAACCCTGCCCTTGCCCATCAAATCACTATACACCAGAATGTTTGAGGCTGGTTCAACTTACACCATATGAAGTGGCTTCATGATATCTCACAGCTCCCTGGTTTCACTGGTACACTCATCCCTGGTCTAAGTGCTTGCACCAGTGTCGGAGAGAGTGCTAGCATGCCAGATCCTTGGATTCCTGCTGATATGTTTGCTGCTAATACACCTATACACAGGCCATCATCTTCTGTAGGTGCAGATACTCAAGAGGACCTAGATGAAGAGGAGGTGGCAGAGGAGGTGGCAGAGGAAGCCTCAAGGAGTTTGCAGCATATCATCCTCATCACTGATGACTTCTCATGGCTCCAGGTTCTTGATGATGGTGAGGCGGAGGAATAGTCTAGTTTAGCCATTATACTGCTGCAATGTACTTCACTTATTATGCTTACTGTCAAAACGTGCCTCTGATATGTCTGGAATATTGTGCTCATCATGTATGACGGTGAGCATGAAGGTTTGCACGGCAGGTGCAGAATAGCCAACATCAGGAACATTACCTGCATTAGAGCTGATGTCTCATGCCAGCTTACATAGGGCTACAGCTGTTTGCTTTTATTATAAGTCAGTCTTTAACCAAGAGATATTGGAGGAGGCTTAGAAATGCTGTAAGTCTGTCATTTTAGACGTGCTAACCCTATCTATAATCACATCTAATTAGAGGCAGTATGTGGGAGTCACAGGTGAGCGTGGCTCCTGCATCACTCCATACTGATACTTATCATGGTTTAATGCAATAGAATGACACTATAGCCTGCACGAGTACAATATCATGGACTGATGGCTTCACTGATAGAATTGTACAAGGTCGTGCATCTATCTTCTTTCTCTGAACCATGGCGCGAGCGTCGGACTCCGTTCCACTCTGAGAGTATAAATCCGGAAATCAGGATTCTCGGAAGAACTTTTGAATCAAATAAAATACCTAGTATAAGTCCGATCCATAATTAATTCAAGTTGCGTATCACAAACGACATCTGCGTGGTAGAGAAGTCCCTCGTGAAAAAGTGAACTAACGACTGACACGCCGCTATCGATCTTATTTTCAATGAATCGATACAAATTGACAGTGAGTAGAGATGGATCTCTAGTAGTACTACGGACTTGACTGAATGTAGTTGACAAATAAGTCAAGGTCACGTGCGCGTGTTGATGGGAACGCGTCGTCGGAGTCAAACTGTAGGTCCACAATCGCCACATCAATCCACATCAGATTGAACAATGGTCCACTACATTTGCGCCGCATCGGTCGACCAGATATAAGGCAAGCAGAAAGCAGTCGTTTTTCTTGTCCTCTTACTTTTTTCCACTTTACCAGTTCTGCTGACAACACTCCGTCAGCGTAATCATTGAACGCCTAGCATCATGTCCCCTGCTGGCGAGACTGGCACATCGTCTGCTACGCCACGCGCCAATGCACCAGCTCATAGTGCTAGCAAAATAAAATCGACCCCAAATAGCTGCAGGACTGCCGTCATCAGCGAGAACATCGGCGTGCTCGGTGTCAAGTGTGCACATTTCCCATTTTTATTGAGTAGCAACTGACATTCTATTAAGTGTTAAGAAAGTTCGCCCATGGATTCAACGGGATATCGAGCAGGCTAAGGAGTGCAAAGCAGATGCCATGTTGCAAGCCCTCCTGCAGCGCGCTTCTTCCTCTCCCGAGACTCAACAGCCCGAGCTTCTGCAAAAGTGCCTAAAAGCAGTTCTGCCGGTTTGCAATGGACAGGTTTCTGCTGGAGGTATATACTCTTCTGGCGTTGAGACAGCCCTGAAAAGATAGTGAGTGCTCCTTCGCCGACCGGACGTTTTCATGCTTACAACGATTGCAAGCGTACGTCCAGGAGTAGAAAACAACCTCTACGCCCCTTTTATAGAAGCCACCAATATTGCACTCGCTTGTCTTGAAGATATCAAGGTCGATGGGATGCGCGCTCCTGTCCCCGCTGTGGACATGATCTGTCAGCAGAACGATATGCCCATGTACCAGAACCACCAGACTGTGAAATCAGCTCGGAAGCCCGACCTCGTCTTTCTTCCTTTGAACAGCGCATGCGCTCCCTTGGAGGATGAGAAGGGCGGTAAGAAGGGAAAACAGAAGGACGACGGGAAGGACGACGAGAAGCGCAAGGCTCATATGGTCAAGAATGCAATGGCAAAGCCACCAGCGCCACTCCCCTGGAAAGATGTTCTAGCATGTATCGAGTTCAAGAGAAAGACAGGCAGGAAGAAATCGATTAAACCGCCGCAATCTTCGTATAAAGTGAATGACTATGTTCCTACCAAGCCAGAATATCTGCCGGTGGATCACCTTAAGACTGAAGATCCGGCGCCAGGCCCTTCGCATGCCCCAGCAACACAACCTGCGTCTGACACTGCAAGTGAGTGATTGTATATTTTATTCTGAGATCAGATTTAATTGGCCGAGCTGCAGTCGTATCTTCCGGCCTTACTGCTGCACAGCCTTCCAAGGGTGGGTCCAGCTCCAAGCGCAAGGCCGCGGACACTTTGCAATCTGCTCCGAAAAAATCCAGAATCGACCCCGACGAGCCAGATGTGACCGTCCAGACGGGTATGTACGCGGCCGAAATGTTTGCGGCCAATCTTGCCGTCAATTATCTGATTAATCTTATCGTCATCGGTGGGTTCGTTCGTCTGTCGAGATTGGTCGCGCTCTTATCACCGCTGTTTCAGACGATGTAATGTGGATCTGGTATTATGATCGTCAAGGGACCATTCAAAGCTCGGGCATCAACTTCATCCAAGATCTTCCGCGATTCATGGTGCTGTTGTATGCTTTACAACGATTCGAACTTGAGGATTGGGGCCGAAGCAAGGATTTCCTCCCAGTTCAAGTTGAGGGGAAGCGATGCCATGAATTCAAAATCAAGGACGTAGAACTTGGAGAGGTGGATCTGCTGCTTCACACCAGCCACGACGAAAGCGTGACACACTACGGATTGCAAGGACGAGCAACCAATGTAGTCCCTGTCACTAGCGACGCGCTGGCCAAGAAATACGAAAGCATCCAGGATGGGATGGTGGCTAAGATATTTTGGGGAGAGGCAAATCGCACTAGCGAGCCGGAAATCCTGAAAAGAGTTGAGGAGATCGCCAAGGCGCACGATACCGTCAAAGACCATATTCCTGAGTTGCTCTGGCACCACACGATCACGAATCCTACGTCCGCCATCCGAGAAGCACTAGGTGTTCCGGAACCCACCATGGGCAGTGGCGTGCTCTACATTCTCGCATTCCGCAAGCTCCACCCCATCACGAAGCTTCACGGCAAAGAGCTTTTCGACGTGTGGTATCAATGTATCCTGTGTATGTATTTTTATCGTATTTATGAGGCTCCTCGTTGACATAGCATGTAGGCCACGTTATGTTGTGGAAGCAAGGTGTATTTCATCGAGATGTCAGCCCTTGCAACCTGATGTGGTACTGGAAAGACGGGAAGCGGGTAGGCGTTTTAAATGACTACGATCTATCCTCGTTGGCGGATGACCCAGCTCCTCGGGGAAACGAGCGCACGGGCACGGTGCCGTTCATGGCGCTCGAGCTTCTTTCCGCACAGGGCCAACGAGGCGAAGTCAAATACCTATATCGTCATGATCTGGAGTCGTTTATGTGGTGCTTCGCCTGGATTTGCTTGCGTTACGAGAACGGAGCCCTTCTACCAGTGAAATCGCGCCGGCTGGATGATTGGGCCACTTCTGGCGCAGTGACATGTGGCATGCTCAAGCTATACTTTCTGAATAATCTCAAAGAATACCGATCCCCTCACATAGAATCACTTATGTGGAAGTTCCTTGTGGAGTGCTTTGTGGTGCTTAAAAAGGAAGCCGACGCTCGATACTATCTTGGCCTTCAATGGCTCTCAGATGGAGACGAGCAGCCCAACTCTGAGGAATCCGAATCAGATATCGATGGTTTTCTACAGGCATTCAAAAGCACCACAAGCTGCTGGGCTGCGTTCAGCAAACCTTCGCAGTGATTTTCCTTACGTGTCACTACACGGTTTTTTGGCTTCTGATAGTACCTGTGTCAATTCCCCGTCTGCGGTAGGTAAACCAATCGAATAGATGAATGATGCTGACTCGTCATTTTTTCTTGGGTGAATTTCGTCCGATTTTACGAATTCTCACTCGTTCTCGCTGGAGTATTTTAGCTTACATAAAGTCTCGTGTTAGTAGATATCATTTCCAACAAAAGATCAGCACTGCATGCACCTACGCTACCTCAGTTTTATATACAGAATACTAATAATGGTCACCCTTGTACTTAGGTGTATCTACTGTACTTGCTCACTCACACTGAATACTATTGGTTACCACTTGCTCATGCACACCACATTCCGTGCATCCCTCAAAAACAACACTTTCCCTACTACAAAATGTTCAAACTACTACATCTATTTTAAATAATAACACACAAGAACATCTTACAAGCTTAGACAGATGCATTTGGACAAGAAACAAGAGAGATAAATGTTTGGTTGTGACAAAGGCTTTTGTCACTTCCATTGTCACCTGCTGTCCACTGCTGCAGCAGTGTTTTAACTCAACACATTAGTGGCACGCATCTACTCACTGCATGGATGGTGCACACTCAAGTCAGTGGGAAGCAGACAGGTCCCTGAGATCCCACCAAAGAAGCTCACATTCAGCCTCATCAGCAAAACCCTAACCCTATGTGCAGTGCTGCACAATGCTGCACAGCAATCACAGTGTCACAGCAAAGTCCCCCCATGCACAGCACTGTACAGTGCTCCACACTACACAATTTCTCAATAAAACATAATTATTAGCACACCATCTTGTTATATACATGTTTATGACTACATCACACTCATTTTTACATAGAATCAATACTTGTGTGGTGCTGCAGAGCCTCTACAACAAAATCTATGTGACCTGTGACATGCTGTGTGGCTGTGGTGCTGTACCCAAATCAGGGTTTTGCTAATGAGGCTGCCATCTGTGATACCTTGACTGGTGTTCATGCCAGTTTTTGCAGTGCTGCCATAGCTCACAATGTAAGCACTCCCTCAACAATTTTGTTGCAACTCAAATTTCCTTCAGGTACCCCCACAGACTGTGAGATCATGCAGCAGGCAAATACCATACTCAATGCTCATTCCTCAACAAATCCCAAGAAAGAGTACTGGTGGACTGGTGCCACCATAACTTGAATTCAGCAGCCCCTTTACATCCTCAAAAACTCCATGCTCAAATACTGGAGATGGTGAAAGTTTACCCTGGCCAGAATTGGGTCTGCCACTTCCTTTCTCATCATGCAGAAATTATTGTTGTGAAACCCTGAGGCCTGGATCCAAAATGCACACAAAATTTCAACAAGGCAACAATCACAGAGTATTTTGATATGTGCAAGATCATGGATGAGAAGCATGAGGGAATGTTGGATAATGGACAGACATCAGACATTACCGTAGTTTACATATGTTTGGTTCACTTACAACTTTCCCTATTGCTTAGCACTCAGTAGACCTCAGTGACTTACCGCATCACTGAGTGTTATACTTGCTGCAGGGAATTCCACCAGAATACAACTGGAATGTTGACGAGAAGGGGTGTCAGATGGGAGGTGGCCAAAAGGGAGACAATTCGAAATTTATCTTCTCAAAACACAACTGAGAATGCTATCATATCCAGTGATAATTTAGAGCTAGTCACAATAATTGAATGTGTTTCATCCACTCACTGGAGCACTTGGACTCTCAAGAGATGGAAAAATTGCTGATCTTTCAGCATGGATCAAAGCTCACTTGGAAGATCCTGACACTTGTGCAGCTCTTGCAGATAACCCTCAATTTTCAGTGCTATATGGTTCGAAACAATGCACCGGCAGGCTTGTTGCCATTGCCAACCTGACTTCGAGTGGAAGCTCAACCCCTTCAGCCAGTACTTCTCTCCCCATGGCAGCCAACAATATGTTCCACCCACAACCACCTTTGTTTCTTCAAATGCAAGGATCTCCAAGTCTCCCTGTTATGTATCCAAACTGGTCACATCATGTTCAAGTTGGCCCTGCTGTACTCTCAACAACCACCCCTGTCATATCACAGCCATTGCTGTCTGGGCATCCTAATGGTCACAGTTCATATTACTCTGGCAATCTGCAATACATATTCAATTAGATTACTACATACTAGCTACTGGACCACTCATATATATCTTCCTAATGTCTAATCCACAGCATGTCAAGTGGACTGCAAAATTGGCCAGTGTGACTACACTGTGACTTTCTGTTACAATTATGTGACTGCATGAAATGTGGTGTGCATGAGCAAGTGGTAACCAATAGTACTAATTGACCTTGTGCTCTTGTGAGCTGACTTTGAAACCAACCTATGTCACATATCATGACTTACAGTGACATTTGCATGACTGCCAACTTCCTGTGGGTGCTGATTGCAGTGGAAGGGATAGTATGCTATAATGTCACTATACTTTAACTCAGTCATCTATGCCTCTTGCAAGTTTAGATTTGGAGTATTTTAGGGTATGTATGTGTTGGAATCCGAGAGTTCTGAGACAAGGAAGACCAATGGACAAGCAAGGCATGCACAGTGAGTAATGAGAGGTAGAGGTACGAGCACAAGCCGAAAAGGGACAAAGGGCGAGTGACACAGTGACGTTGGCTCGCGTCCTACTGTATTTTTCTGTTTTGTTTTAATACATTATGGTCGTCAATGTACTTACCTTAAAAATGCCAGTAGCAGTGTCCTGGCATCTCAGTTCTTTTCCAAGACACTGAGATTGTACTTGTTCAATAGACTCCTCATCCCTCCCACTCTTCTTATCACAGCAGGTTATGAGCCCTGCCTCAACCATGGACTCTACACTCCCCAGAACCAACTCCAGCCTGTTCAATATCCTGAAGCTCGCAGAAGACAGCTTGAACTGGATAACCTATAAGGAACGAACATTAACAGCGATAGGAGCCCAAGGTCTGATGTGATATACCAATGGTCGAGCCTATGAGCCAGCCCCTTTTGCCCTTGACAAGAATACTAAGACCCCTGTCAAGTGTCATATCCTGTATGCCAGACATAGATCCCATCATATTCCCACGCTTTCCGGACCTATTTCCGGACCCCATATCCAACTCATTCCTGGATCTCCTATCCTGTCCACCCTATGCACATTCCATCCAGCAAGACATCTGGACTTTACCTCCTCTCGGATTCTGGACTACATCCACCACCTCACATATCTCAGTCCTGTTTCCACCCTGCCTTCCAGATCCCCAGATCTCTGGACCTCTGGATATTAACTGTATTATCTCCAGACCTATTCCCACCCTCCGTCTGAGATCCTGTGCCTATCCCCATTTAGGCATCTCCCCCTTTCCGGTTCTCGGTTATCTCTGTTTCCATCTTGCTGATTGATCCTTGTACTAGTTTCATCTCTGAGTTCATTTACTTATGTTCCGTCTTACTCACCAATGTGTTTCCACATGCTCGTACATAGCCTTACTCCTTTGCTTACTGATCCTCTTGGATAGCCTCTAGCATATAACCCCTGTACAACTACAGTAGAGTCCTCAGTCTGAATATCACCTTAGACTTGCCCAATCTTCTTCTGGACTTCAGTCCATCTGAGTCTTGTCCTTTTCCATAAGGCCTAGGGATGGATTCCCTAGGCCAGAATTCTGGACCTTCGGATTTGTCCCCTATGTCTCTGTCCCAAGTCTAGGGATTGCTTCCCTAGGCTAGAGTCTTGCCTTTCCAGCACTTACCCTCTTTCCGGACTTAGGTCCACTTCCTGTCCCTCCAACTCTACCTTAGGGTAGTCTACCTCCATTTGCTTCTACATCAGACAAAGTCCGATGTAGCCCCTATTCCTTCCGGACCTCCAGACCTCCTGTCTTCTGTACCTCCAGACCTCCTGTCCCTCATACCTCTGGGCATCCTGTCCTTCAGATGTTCTGCCCTCCGTACCTTCGGACATTTCATCCTCCCTACCTCCAGACATCTTGTCCTCCTGTCCTCTGGACCTCCTATCCTTCCATCCTGTTTTCCTGTAGAAGTATTACCTTGCAGTGGGAACTCTCCTGAGCATTTCCTGCATTCCTCCAGAACTCTCCTGTGCTCCTCCAGACATTTCCCGCGCTCCTACGGAAGTCCTCCTGCACTCTCCACCAGAGTAGCCAGCCTCTGGAAGTCCTCCGGACTCCATCAGACCATCATCGGACCTCATATGAAATGAAGGGCACATACTTGGGTAAGGGGCACAGCATACAAGCTGAGGCCAAGCCCCTCTGAGTCAGTCTCTCTCTCCTTTGAGCATGGTTCTTAACACTGAAACTCAAAAGTGAGGCACTTACAGCTTTCAAAGTGTATGAGGCATGGCTAGGTCGCCAGTCTCCAGGTGTCTGTCTGTGCAAAATCCGTTTGGATCGAGGGGGAGAATATCTGTCCGCCAAGTTTGATGAGTATCTCCAACTACAAGGGATAGAGAGGCAGTTGACGGTCCATGACTCACCTCAGCAGAACGGGGTGGCAGAGCGACTCAACAGGACTCTGGTGGAGCATGGAAGGGCTATGCTCCTGGCTAAAGACCTCCCTAAGTACCTGTGGGCTAAAGCTGTCAACTACGCCACCTGGTTGAAGAATTGCTTACCTTCAAGGGCGATCCCTGGCACAATGCCGTATGAACTCATACAGAAGTCAAAACCCAACCTCTCCCAAGCACATGAATTCAGGGCCACCATCTATGTCCATCTCCTGGAAGCTGGGAAGTTGGAGGCAAGGGTGGAGGAGGCATTGTTTGTGGGTGTAGATGCTGAAAGCAAAGGTTATAGAGTGTATTGGCTGTCAAAACGTCAAGTTTCGGTCAAATGGAACCTCACCTTTGGTCCCACAGAGATCCTTGTGGCAGAGGATGTCCTGGATGAGGGGGAGTCTACTACCACTGTTGCTGCGAACAACAAATACAACAACAACAGCAACAATATCCCCACTGGAACGGGCAACGCACCTAATGTCCAGGCCATCCCACCTCCTTCTACTCCCCCCAGAACGACTCCACAGAGACCTATAACCCCATCAGCTCCAAGGGTAACCCACCTCAGGGAACCTCTAGGCTATTATGCTGACCTACAGAGTGGAATAGGAGCCAAGGCAGGAGGTAGTAAGGGTGAGAGCATGTCTGTGGCCATAGAGAGTCTGTTAGAGGCATCAGAGTTAGACCTCCTGGATGAAACAGCTTACCTGGAGCTAGCCCTAGCCACAGCAGTCCCAGAACCCACCTTGCAGCAAGCACTGAACAGACCAGATGGTGTTGAATGGCAGGAAGCGCTGGATTATGAAATCAGCCAACTGGAGAAGTTAGGTACCTGGGAAGTGGCTGACCCACCTAGAGGCACCAACATCATCCCTTGCCATTTTGTATTGGCCACCAAGCGTGGTCCTGATGGCAAGAAACTCAAACTCCGTGCCCATCTTGTTGCCAACAGCCAGAGGCAGCAGTTTGGGGTCGACTATTTCAACACATTTGCCCCCACCACTAACATGATAACCATTCACACAGTCCTAACGATGGCCACTCAGAAGGACTGGGAGATCCACCAAGTCGACATTAAAAGCACGTACCTCTATGCTAGCATCCAGGAGGAGATCTACATGAGGGCACCACCTGGGTATCTGAAGGATGGTGAACAAGGAAAGGTACTGAGGTTGAGGAGGAGCTTACCTGGCCTAAAGCAAGCTGGTTTTGAGTGAGCTGAGGAGCTAGCAGGTGTCTTTGAGGACCTGCATTTCAGCTGCTCTAAGGTTGACCAGGCCATCTACTACAAACATACCCAGGACGAGCACATGGTCATCACTGTCTCCGTCGATGACATGGCCATTACAGTGAACCACATCTCCCATATCAGATGCTTCAAGTCCCAGCTCCAGGAGTACTTTGAGATTTCGGATCTAGGGGAACTAAACTGGTTGTTAGGACTGAAGGTAACCAGAGACCATACTGCATGCACCTTAACCCTCTCCCAAAAGGCCTATGTTGAGACAATCATTGACCAGTTCTACTTAGGAGATGCTAGGAGTGCGCCAACTCCCATGGACTGGGACTTGCACTGTCAGTGGAACAAGGACCTGCAACAGCAGCAGAGCTGCAAGGGATGCGAGACATACCATACCAGAGGGCCATTGGGTCCCTGATGTATGCAGCCACCAGTACCTGCCCTGACCTTGCCTTCCCCATAGCAACCCTATCCCAATTCATGTGGAACCCTGGTAGACCCCATTGGGAGGCCACCAAACAAGCCCTCCACTATCTAAAGGGTACTGCTGATTTCAAGCTGACCTTGGGGGTAATGGATGGGGGACTGGAAGTGTTCATCGACACAGACTGGGCATCACAGCCCCATAGACATTCCATGTCAGGATATATAGTATTCCTGAATGGAGGTCTGGTAGCCTGGAGTGTGCGAAAGCAGCCACTGATTGCCCTGTCCACCACAGAGGCAGAGTACATCACCCTGACGAGTGTGATACATGAGCTACTTTACCTACAGCTACTCATAGGCGAGCTCTACGAACCTCCTCCACACCCAATCCCAGTTTTCTGCGACAATCAGGCAGCCATTGCTCTTGTGTCAAATGGAAAGTTTCAGTCACGCACCAAGCACATTGACCTCTGGTACCACTTCATTAGGGCCCATGTCAAAGACGGCATCTTCAAGCTGTACTACTGTCCCACTGACAATAATGTGGCCGATACCTTCACCAAGGCACTACCACGCCCCTGTTTGCAAAAGTTAAGGACCCACATGAGCCTGGCTTGTGCTTGAGGGGGAGTGTTGGAATCTGAGAGTTCTGAGACAAGGAAGACCAATGGATCTGAGCAAGGCACACACAGTGAGTAATGAGAGGTAGAGGTACAAGCACAAGCTGAAAAGGGACAAAGGGCGAGCAATGCAGTGATGTCAGCTCACATCCTACTTTATTTTTCTGATTCGTTTTAATACATTATGGTCATCAACGTACTTACCTTAAAAATGCCAGTAGCAGCATCCTGGCATCTCAGTTCTTTTCCAAGACACTGAGATGTGAGTAGGAATTCGTCACCTATACAATACAAAGTCTAACATGATGTAGTGTACTTGTTCAATAGGTAGACAAACCCTTAACAAGAGTTCTTTTCCAAGACACTGAGATTGTACTTGTTCAATAGACTCCTCGTCCCTCCCACTCTTCTTATCACAGCAGTATGTAAATACAAGATACAGGTAATGCATTAATAATTGTATGCTCAATAATACATTACTTTTAATTTATCGGAATTACCCATATCATGTCAGGGCCGTCCGGCCCGAACACTAATAATCAGTAATTCCATGATCAGGGACCTACGTATACTACCTCACATCGAGGAGCACGATGGATTTTACTCCATGTCACCCCCAACCATTCACGTTTCAGCAAGCTATCTCCTTTGACCCCGAAGTTTCTGCTGATGGTATGTTATCATAATCTTAAAAGCGCATATCCAAGCTCATCCAACATTTTGACATATCAGAGATCGGTCGTCTTCAAAACTCTATCTCCCATCTAAAACGCACACAAGAGGAACTCCAAGAATATGCTGAAGACCCAGACATCGCACAAGCAATAAAAGAAAACAACCAGACGTTGTCAGTACAAGGCAGTCCATGGACTTTACTGCACTTATTAAGATCGGGGCACGCACACGCACAGAGCATCGCAAGATGAGCGAATATTCATGCTCAAGTTGGCGCTCACTCAACGCGGAGCGTCGAATGCCACTAGCGCTCGTTATGACCTTCCTCCTGAGCCGGAACCAGAAAGCAGAAATGGTAGGCATGGTGGATTTACTAGTGATAATGGACTCGAGCCGTTGGACGCACCTCTTCCGGGAGACAACTCGGACATTGGGCCATCGAATTCAACTGGGGAGGGTGAACAAGAAAGCGGTGTGCACCTGTAGTCCTACATCATTTTCGATCATATTTGCCGCATTGTACACTAATCACTTTATGCATGAGTCAAAGAGGATGTTGCCACGAATCTATCCTTCAAGTGTTAGTGAGCTCTGATTAACGCGTGTACGAAATGGGCTTTCGATCCCAGCGCGACCGACTCTTCATGCTAATCACCTACTTTAGTTTTGATATCAACGTTGGTCTGATGACTATGCAGCGTCTATGCTTAGCTCGGATTGGGCTGCCTGTGACCCCTGTACTTGGGATCAGGATAAGAACGTGGAAGTATCGCTCACTCTGGCATCACTCGTGGGGCTTGAGGCTTGACCTTGAAGTACGGCTTCATCCACAGATTGGTTTGCCCTTCTAGACAGCCACCACCGATGTCATGGGGGAGAATTAGTAGTACGTTCTCAAGAGAGAATGATTGACGGAGTTGATGCCAGGTCTTGAGCTTAGGGAGTCTGAGTCGGTACGACCTCACATTGAGTGATACATAGCCCAAACATAGTCGTCGACTAGATATCTGAATAGAATGGTAGAAGTTGCAGACGGTAAAGGTGGAATATATGTTATAAATCCTCCAGCGAAAGTACAACGGAAAACGACCATGATACATAACTCCTTGCCAGGTAGATTGAGTCGGCTCGAAGTCATTAAACAGTGTGCGCTATCCACACGGTGGACATCGTCATCTTACAACAAGCACGTGTACAAGCGGGCACACATCTTCTTGTGCTTGTACCTGGCGCTCCTCATTTTTGACGAACTCTCATATCGATATGCGGCAGATCGCTAGCGCAGCCAAGCAGCGGGCCTGACCCCTTCAAAACACTATCCTTGGCCTCGTCGCCGAACGACCTTATTTCGCCCTCCGTCTGGCCTCCATTCATAATCTCCGGGGTTGTGCTAAAGTCGCCCCCGTTAGCTCGTAGAGCAGCTAATGCTTCAATCAACCACACTAGGCAATTCCACTGTGCATCATTCTGCACGAACGGTACTCGCACGAGGATATCATGTATGCAACCTGCCTGCGTGACCAACGGTTCGTGTGCAGGCAGCTTTGCGATGAGCACCCTCCCTATGACTGTACCTTCTCTAAGACCATTCACGACTTTGTGTTCATACCGCCATTCTGGCATGCCGTTGAGATTGAATTTGACGCCTGATTGGATGGTGTTGACGGTGTGGTAGATGTGGCAGTCATGGACGGAGGTATTGCGAGTTTCTTGCTTAGGTGAGAGCATGAGAGCGAAGTGAAATCCTGGCTTTGAGTATGATGGAGTGCGCTGTATAGACGGTGCTTCTTGCGAGGCATGAGTCTATGAGAAGGGATATTATGATGAGCAAGAGTAGTTCAAGTGGTTTCTTACCAGCGTCAAGGCAAGATACGCAGTATGTTTTGAGTGGAGCAGGCACTTGAGAATCAACGCGCACGTGTGGGAGGCACGTACAGAGCTAGCGGCAGGGTGAAAATGGGTTCCTTGAAGACTTGGAAACTCAGCGTTCAGCTAGAGCATAGCCTGCACGGCACACTCTTGATTTTGTCCATCTGATGTCTAAATTCAGATTTGTTAGCCCAGTGTTCATATCATGTAAATTGTAATGGTTTCCTCGCCTCGTTGAGTCACGTGTTGAACTGAAGGCGGACGATTTTCTCCCATCTGGGGATTATGCCGCCGAGTGTATGCCACTGGTACTTCCGAGGATTATCTTGTTTGTCGCAACTTCCCAGGATGCGTCTGTTCTCTCCTCCACTCGTAATCCAACGCACTGCGACCGTCCAGACTGAGGCATCGTGACCCAACAACTCTGGTGGATCAATATCCTATAAGCTATAGGTTATGGAGTCAAATTTATAACCTATAGGCTATAGGTTATTGCTGAATCCACAAAGCGCTCTTGCTGCAGACACGTAGTCTTCTCCGAACTTTTTTGCCCACAGCCTCAGTTCAAGGATGCCGAAAAAAATTATCAACCAGAAGACAGTGAGGCCTTTAGCCGTGCATCCCCAAAGTGACAATGTCCTGTGCTGTCGCGACATGTCCTGGCTCATACAATTTGTCGACCACATCAGTCGACCCGAGATCTTTCCTCACATTGACCTTATGGATTCGTGTTTGTTGACTGGTCCTACTCAGCAAGAATCAGTTTTTCGTTCCTGCATTTAAGGTTCGCGATTACTCTCTCAGTACGCTCGATTATTTGGCTTCTACAAATCAATTTGGTCTCGCTTATAGAGTCTCGTTCACAAGTTTGACCACCATACGCGCAGCTCTAGATGTCCATATGTGCGAGATTCTGCACACAATGGGCTATCGATACAGCATCGACGCTGACAAAACACTACTGTTACACCTATTCACATCGAGTACTCCCACCGATATGTGATTCCTCCTATGTAAAACTGGACCCCTCAGCATCTCATGATCATCCCCTACATACGCTGTATTTCCCGTGCTAGTGTTTCCGAGTCCTCCGCTGCGCTGCACACAGGATTTTGTTTGGGAGCCTAAGGCGGCGAGTCCTGTTTTGTCTAGTAAGAATGGTATGTTTGTGCTTCGGAATGCGTTCTCATTTTATTTCACAACCCGGCCCTCGACATCTCACATGTCAATCATGTTTCGGTGACTGGGCGTTGGATAGCACACACTCTTGTGCTTTAGTTGCAAATCAACGTGTACATGAATTAGAAAGGTCGGATTTTCGCTCCCGTTGGTGGATGGTGACTGCGACGAAGTGCCAGACAACTCAATGCCTCCGATAGCTTCAACTGCAACACATCATCGTAAAAAAAATCTTGACAGACGCCTCAAGGTCTTGCATGAGCATGAGTTCTTGCCGTCGTATCCTTGAGAGCCATATGTATTGATTGTCCGACATCACCCAGGATACACAGCAGTGTCTATTAACAGTAACATGCAGCACAGTCTAAAATGGGGTAACGACCATGTGTAGAAGGACAGAATACCTAGGAGAGAACTGCAACCGAGTTGTGCATCTATTTTCTTTCTGTGGACCATGGCGCGAGCATCGGACTCCGTTCCACTCTGAGAACATAAATCCCAAGATCAAGGTTCTTAGAAGTAAGCATCCTTCCTATTTACACCACTTCTTAGAGACTCGAAGTAAGTATCATGCTTGATTGCGTACCGAGAACGATCGAGATAGTATGTGGTATTAGATAGCGAAATCCCTCTCACCGTGAAAAACATGATCTACCTGGTGCACTGCTATTGATCTTATTTCTTACGAATTGACAGAGTACTAGACTATAGATGGATCTACTTAGTATTAGACTGAAATCGATTTCCAGGACTCTGATCTACTCAGAGTCAAATAAGTCAAGGTCACGTGCGCGTGTTGATGGGAACGCGTCGTCGGAGTCAAACTGTAGGTCCACAACCGCCACTGATCAGATTGATCGATGGCCCACCACATTTGCGCCACATTGACCGACCCAGATATAAGGCAAGTGGAAAGCAGTCGTATTTCTTGTCCTCTTAGTTTTCTCCACCTCACCAGTTCTGCTGACGATACCCAGTCAGCGTAACAACAACACCTAGCGCCATGTCCCCTGCCGGCGAGACAGGCACATCGTCTACTCCGCCACGCGCCAATGCACCCGCTCATAGTACTAGCAAAATTGAATCGACCCCAAATAGCCGCGGGACTGCCGTCGTCAGCGAGAACATCGGCGTGCTCGGTGTCAAGTGTGCACATTTCCTATTTTTATTGAGTAGCAACTGACATTCTATTAAGTGTTAAGAAAGTCCGCCCATGGATTCAACGGGATATCGAGCAGGCTAAGGAGTGCAAAGCAGATGCCATGTTGCAAGCCCTCCTGCAGCGCGCTTCTTCCACTCCCGAGACTCAACAGCCCGAGCTTCTACAAAAGTGCCTAAAGGCAGTTCTGCCAGTTTGCAATGGACAGGTATCTGCTGGAGATATATACTCTTCGGGCATCGAGATAGCCCTGAAAAAATAGTAAGTGCTTTTTCACCGATCGGACGTTTTCATGCTTACAACGATTGCAAGCGTACGTCCAGGAGTAGAAAACAACCTCTACGCCCCTTTTATAGAAGCCACCAATATTGCGCTCGCTTGTCTTGAAGATATCAAGATCGATGGGATGCGCGCTCCTGTCCCCGCCGTGGACATGATCTGTCAGCAGAACGATATGCCCATGTACCAAAACCACCAGACTGTGAAGTCAGCTCGGAAACCCGACCTCGTCTTTCTTCCTTTGAACAGCGCATGCGCCCCCTTCGAGGATGAGAAGGGCGGTAAGAAGGGAAAACAGAAGGACGACGAGAAGCGCAAGGCTCATATGGTCAAGAATGCAATGGCAAAACCACCAGCGCCACTACCCTGGAAAGATGTTCTAGCTTGCATCGAGTTCAAGAGAAAAACGGACAGGAAGAAATCGATTAAACCGCCGCAATCTTCGTATAAAGTGAATGACTATGTTCCTACCAAGCCAGAATATCTACCGGTGGATCATCTTAAGGCTGAAGATCCTGCGCCAGGCCCTTCGCAGACCGCAACACAACCTGCGTCTGACACTGCAAGTAAGTGATTGTATTTTTTTGCAAGATCAAACTAAATCTGCCGAGCTGTAGTTGTATCTTCCGGCCTTACTGCCGCACAGGCTTCCAAGGGCGGGTCCAGCTCCAAGCGCAAGGCCGCGGACACTTTACAATCTGCCGCGAAAAAATCCAGGACCGACCCTGATGAGCCAGATGTGACCGTCCAGACGGGTATGTACGCGGCCGAAATGTTTGCGGCCAATCTTGCCGTCAATCACCTGATTAATCTTATCGTCATCGGTGGGTTCATTCGTCTGTCGAGATTGGTTGCGCGCTTACCACCGCTGTTTAAGACGATGTAATGTGGATCTGGTATTATGATCGGCAAGGGACCATTCAAAGCTCAGGCATCAACTTCATTCAAGATCTCCCGCGATTCATGGTGTTGTTGTATGCCTTACAACGATTCGGACTTGAGGATTGGGGCCGAAACAAGGACTTCCTCCCAGTTCAAGTTGAGGGCAAGCAATGTCATGAATTCAACATCAAGGACGTAGAACTTGGAGAGGTGGATCTGCTGCTGCACACCAGCCACGACGAAAGAGTGACGCACTATGGACTACAAGGACGGGCCACCAATGTGGTCCCTGTCACTAGCAAAGCGCTCGCCAAAAAATACGACAACCTCCCGGATGGGATGGTGGCCAAGATCTTTTGGGGAGAGGTGGATCGCACTAGCGAGCCGGAAATCCTGAAAAGAGTTGAGGAGATCGCCAAGGCGCACGATACCGTAAAAAACCATATTCCCAAGCTTCTTTGGCACCACACGTTCACGAATCCTACGTCCGCCATCCGGGAAGCGCTCGGGGTTCCAGAACCTACCAAGGGCAGTCGCGTGCTCTACGTCCTCGTATTCCCCAAGCTTCTCCCCATCACGGAGCTTTACAATAAAGAGCTTTTTGATGTATGGTGTCAGTGTATCCTATGTATGTGTGTGGTGGAATTTATGTGGCTTTCGTTGACATGGCGTGCAGGTCACCTTACTCTATGGAAGGAAGGGGTATATCATCGAGATGTCAGCCCTGGAAACCTGATGTGGTACTGGAAGGACGGCAAACGGATTGGTGTCTTAAACGACTACGATCTATCCTCGTTGGCGAATGACCAGGGTCCTCGGGGAAACGAGCGCACGGGCACGGTACCGTTCATGGCGCTCGATCTTCTCTCTGTAAAAGGTCAACGGGGCGAAGTCAAACACCTATATCGTCACGACCTGGAGTCGTTTATTTGGTGTTTTGCCTGGATTTGCTTGCGTTACAAACAGGGAGTTCTTCTCCCAGTGGAATCCCGCCCCCTGGATATTTGGGCGACTGCTGGCGCCGTCACATGTGGCGAGAAGAAGTACTTTTTTCTGCGTCATTTTGAGGATTATGACTCCTCGCACCTAGATGCCCTTACATGGAACTTCCTTGTCGAATGTTTGTGGGAGCTGAAAACTGATGACGAACGTCGATTTAATCTCAGGATGAAACAGCGATTGAGTGGAGCAGGCGAACAGCCAGATGCCGAGGAATCGAACTCGGATATTGATGATTTCTTACACAAGTTTACCGGTAGCACGAACTGGAATAAGCTCAGCAAACTTTCCTAGTCAGTAATCTTCTTATCTTCTTGTTATCTTGCACACAGTTTGCCGTATATGCATACTTGTAACTTTATGAAAACGATTGCCGCAAGGCGAATTGGCCGCATGCAACGAATTAGGTGCTAAACGTTGTAAATATATGATTACGACAGAGATCGAGTTCAGCTCTCCTTAGCCGCTGCCTAAGTTAGAGGTTTGCCCTTGTGAAAGGTGCCGGTTCCTGAGTGCCCGGAAGGAACCGGCACCTCACATATTTTCACCCACCCACCACTCCCAGGATCAGTTATTGCACCTTTAATATCAGCCGTTCTTTGTCGATTACATACCGGATTTTTTTGGTACACTCATAACTTCATACACCTACACTCATAATGGTCATTCATTCAGCCCGCTTGTCGAGTTTTCCCGCCCACCCAGCGGTAATCTCGCCAGCGTCCGAACCGAGCTAACGCTCGGCCCAGCCCAACCACTGTTTGTCTGACCATCAATGATTGTGCAATAAACGAAACTGGATTGGATTTTCCTTACAATCCGTACAAACCGACCAATCATATTTTCCCAAAATTTCCTCAGAATCTGTAGTTACGTCAGTTGGCCTGTTTCAACTTGTTTGCTATTTGGAGATTCGTGACAAGTTGTCTTGGTCTGCCTTCGATTCCTTTTTCCTTTTAGCCAAACGAAGGCGAGAAGGTGTGCGTGAGATGACAGATGGAAGACGAGAGTTGGATATGTACTAGCATTTGGAGAGGGCACTGGGAGGAACAAGCTATGAAAACCTGTTCGTTGCAATGTCACTCATGTCATACGCAGCGCGACGAAAGAGTGACACACTACGGACTTCAAGGACGAGCCACCAATGTGGTCCCTGTCACTAGCAACGCGCTCGTGAAGAGATACGAAAACCTCGAGGATGGGATGGTGGCCAAAATCTTTTGGGGAGGGGCGAGTCGCACAAACGAGTCAAAAATCTTGAAAAGCGTTGAGATTGCCAAGGTCCACGATACCGTCAAAGATCATATTCCTGAGTTGCTCTGGCACCACACGTTCACGAATCCCACGTCCGCCATCGGAGAAGCACTTGGTATTCCGGAACCCACCACGGGCAGTCGCATGCTCTACATTCTCGTATTCCGCAAGCTCCACCCCATCACGAAGAAGCTTAACAACACAGAGCTTTTCAATGTATGGCGTCAGTGTGTCCTATGTACGTGCTTGGTTAAATTTACGTGGCGCTTCGTTGACATAGCGTGCAGGCCATCTGACTCTGTGGAAGGAAGGGGTCTATCATCGAGATATCAGCCCTGGAAACTTGATGTGGTACAGAAAAAACAGCCAACTGATCGGTGTCTTAGACGACTACGATCTATCTTCGTTGGCAAATATAGTAGGTCCTCAGGGCAACGAGCGCACGGGCACGGTACCGTTCATGGCGCTCGAGCTTCTTTCCCCAAGTGTTCAACGAGGCGAAGTCAAACACCTGTATCGCCACGATTTGGAGTCGTTTATGTGGGTTTTTGCCTGGATTGTCTTACGTTACAGGCAGGGAGTCCTTCTGCCACGCGGACTGCGCCCCTTCGACGAATGGGCAACTTTAGGCGCTGTGGCATGTGGCAAGGAGAAGTTGTTCTTTCTCAATAATATGGAGGCTTCCGCACCTTCGGACATAGACGAAGACATTTGGAATTTCCTTGTGGACTCTTTTCTGGTACTTAAAAAGGATGCCGACAACCGGTACTATCTTCGCTTTAAACGGCCATCGAGCTCAGGAGAAGGCCGGCAGCCTAACGCCGAGGACTCAGATCTCGATGCTGTTCTATCTAAATTTACAAGTTTAGAAGGTTGGGATAAGCTCAGCAAATCTACATGATTTTCTTTACTTGTTACTTATACGCGTATCAATACCAAGCTGTAACTTTCATTTGTATATTCATAATACAAGCGGTCGATGGGTCACTTCCCATAGAGTCGTGCGTGAAAGCTTCACTGGCAGGGACCAAATACTTCGAACCAGTGCGGTGTATCTTGCCATCCATTCATCTGTGACCTCCGGGATTGTGTTGAAGTTACCCCCTTTGGCTCGCAGAGCAGCTAATTCTATACTAGGCAAACCTACTGTGCATTATTCTCCAGAACTCTACGAGCAGTACTTGTGCAAGGATATCATGCTCTGCCTGTGTGACTAACGGTTCGTGTGCAGGTAGCTTTACGAGATCGTGCTGACGGCCCGGGTGTGGTACATGTATAGACGTCACGGTATTGCGAGTTTCTTGCTTGGGCGAGAGTATGAGAACGAAGTGAGATCCTGTTCGTCGGTTCTCCATGACCACATTTTCGGATTCGCGACGGCTGTCTTCATCTGCTTTCGATTCCTCCTTTTGAGTCACCTTAAGGCTAGCCTGGTGTGACTAAGGCAGACGAGAGCGGGGGGGTGCACGTGAGATGACAGATGGAGAACGAAAAGGGCCACCATTGGATACTCGCATTTGGAGAGGGTGCACAAGTCACGATGAAGGCCTGCTCGCTGCAACGTCTCTCATGTCATGCGCAAACCCTCTGTGTTCGGCCCTGAATTCCCATGGCCACTCAGGGGAGGCGATTCAGAGTCAGGGTCCATCACGCATCTCGCTGACATCCCCTATATACGCTGCATCTCCCGTAACAGTACGTCCCGAGTACGACTTCCACACATATTCTGATTATCCACGCACGCAACTGTTTCATGACCAAACCAAGATTTTATAATGTTTGAATTCCCGAAGGCGCTGGGACTCAATGTGGCGTCATGTCACACCATGTCAGGCTGTACTACATAAGTGCGTACACAATGAAGAAGGAATGTCTCAACGATTGTCTTCTTCTATTCGGTCTGCCTGCAAGAGACTGCAAGTGCACTACATTGTGCAAGTTCGAAGTGAGAGATAGGACTGGGAGTGAGTTTCGAAAATGGTAAATATGTACACCACTACTCTGCTACTGACAGTATTAACCCAGTGGGAGTTTATGTACGTAGTACCAAGGGGGTGGCGTTCTAGGGTAGCAATGTAATAAGAATTATAGTCAGACATCTACTTCGATAATTGGGTGGTATCGTAAACGTGCCTGGATGAACTTTCCTTATTCCCTCTCAACCTGAAACACTTTTACTTCACCAAATTATCGTGTGTAGCATTCGCTTTGGCGGTGATAAGCGCCGGATAATGGTATTATATCTAGCATGTTATCGTTATACGTTTACCAACGTCGCCGCTCCAGTTTGCTCGTCCACAAGTATGAGTTTTCTCTCAAATGAGCTCTTTTTGGGGCCGTTCATCAAAGCGAGTCGTATTGCCAGCTATTTTGCAGGTTCGTGGAAAGCGAGTCTAATGATGATGGTGATGTGTCGATCTAACCTAGGCTTTGGTTTTGCAGTCGCCTCTGCTGTTGGGTTGATATATGATTGGGGTGAGCAAGACTGAGTACGACAGAACCACCTGAATATCCTCACGGTATTTCCAGCACTTATGTTTGGTCAAGAAGTAGGTTAATGGTATTACTGAAGCAGCCATCTCGCTAAGAATGCCTTCACAGGTCGAATTGATCTGGGTGAGCGGACTCCCGCGTCAAAAGAACGACGTGAATGCGCAACTAATTCGCGGCAGAAGAAACGCTGGTCCCTCATGACGGCGTTGTATCTGAGTGTATGTAGTTTGTGTCATCAGTGTGGTAGGTAAGTTGTGCTGACTTAAAAGGATCCTAGGTGCGCTATGTTGGAATAATATATTCTGTGTATGTTGGGAAGCTTAAGCAATCGGTGTTGTACTAATCTGCCATCTCTCACAATCAGCATTAGAGTGCTGTGTATGTCTCCTCGCACACACTGTTTTCATTTTTTCTGACCGGCGGCATACAGTATTTATTCCAGTGACAGTTGTAGTGAGTATTCCGTTTCTATGCCTGCATTCCTGACCAATCAACTACACTCCCATGCAGGGGTGAGTGAGATTCTTGACGGACTTCTTAGTTTAACGTAACAATTGTCACAGCTGTGAGTTTGTTCCGGGCGTATGATCCTCCATAATGTTACTAAATTTGTCAGGCCCCGGTGGATACGTCGCACTAGATTGTATGTGTGTCATCATAAATGCTATGCTGGGCGGTGAGCTGCGCTGCTACAATACTTGCATGGTATTGAATTGACTGAAATGTTACGCAAGTCATCATGATTTCTCGGTTACATGCCATGTACCAGCGATCCAGAAACGTGCTGATATTTCTTGTTGTCACTTTCCTGGCTGTCAACATCGCCAGCGCAGTGCTCGCGGGAATAATAATGAAGGATATTTCAGGGGGTAAGGTCAATTGTGGGTGAAATACATGGTCCACCAGGCTCATTTATGAATACCAGAGGTACTCGTTCTCTCAGGCATGTATCAATGCACCGTTAGCTTTGGGGGAAATAGCGTACTCCTGGGTTCCATGACCTGGATACTTGCTACTGTATGGGAGGTCGTTACATTGTGTTTCGCGGTTTGGATCGCTGTCAAACACTTCCGTGAATTACGACGCTCATCGGCAGGGGGTATTATCGGGGACTGTTTCACGGTGTTGATCAAAACTCACGTACTTTACTTTGCGAGGTGAGTTCACAATGTGAATGTGGTTCTATTGACCTCTGAAATTTTGCGGATGCTAGCTTTGTTCCTATTTCTTGCTTCAACCTTGCTTATCTGTCTCCGACAACCTCAGTGGTATGCCAATGTTTCACTGAACTCTACACCTGTGCACCGTTCACCATCCTATAGGAACCATATTCCATGAGATGGCACATTTATGTTGGATTCCTTCAAATTTTTGCACTCGCGGGAAAGTTTGTGCTAGGACCACGCCTGATCCTTGGTGTTCGAGAGTATCACGCCAAGCTTGTGGCCGACTCAAATGCAGCAACCGGCATGACTTCAATTGTTTTCCAGGAGCGCGTGTATAACAAGAAATGTTCGGTATGATTCACACTTCCGGGCACTCTGCAAAGAGCGGGTGATTTTTTTTGGTACCCGTGCGTTACTAGTACTTACTTGGCGTTCTGAAGTGGACAATTTTCACGACTTATTTGCAGTCTCGTAAGCATGCAAGTTCTAGGTGCTCGAGCTGAATTCAGGGGGGGCGGTAGAATTGAGGTTACATTCATTTACTTGTTGTTTATCAAGTTTGCTGCGTGCTCTGTGACTTCGCATAAGGCGGGGAGATTCGAGAATATTGAGTGGTCATCGAGGCGATCGTCAGGTACTTCTTATCTCACTCCAGATCCAAACGAAGGAATCGAATCGACGAGTAATACAGCTCTTATCAAGTGACCTCCAGATGTCCAAGAACCCGTCTCCCGATGGTTTTTCTAACACAATATGTCAGAATGAAAAGGCTCGGCTGAAGACCAATTATGTCCGATCAAGATGCATACGTCCACTTCCGACTAACTTTATCGTGTCAAGGTCTCGAGGCTGACGAGGCCATCCGTTAGTTTTTATGACAAACTATGATGGAATGGGAAAGGAGCTGGCTGGATGGCAGTCCTCGGCGGGGATGCGGCATATCGCTAATACAGCTAGGTCGCCTCTTCAAAACTGCAATCCTTGGCTATGTCGTCGAACGCTTTTAATTCACTGTCCGCCTGAACTGCATTCGTGATATCCAGTATCGTGCTGAAATCGCTCCCCTTGGCTCGTAGTCCAGCAAGTGCATGGATCATCCACGCTCGGCAATCCCACTGTGCACCATTCCGCACGAGTGGTACTTGCGCAAGGATACCATGTATGCGTTCTGCATGTGTGGCCAACAGTTCGTGTGGGCAGCCTTACGATAGGCACCCTTCCTGTGATCGTACCTTCTCGAAGATCATTGATCGCTTTATGTTCGTATCACAACCACTCTGGCATGCTGTTCAGACCGAACCTGACACATGACTGGATGGTATTGATGACGTGGTAGATGTGGTAGTGGCAATCAGAGGCGTTGCGAGGTTCTTACTTGGGTGAAAGCGTGGGTGCGTGGTGGAATCCTGGCTTTGTCATGCGATGGTAGAAGGTGACGTATAGACGGCATTTGTTGTTATCCATGGATCTACTATGGGCGAGGAATGTTATGACGGACCAGAGGGTATTCCTCGCTTATAGACTACTCAACAAAAGAGTACCGTCCGCGCGTACCCGAGGCCTCTCGCCTTGGCGGACGCGTGTCATATGAAAAGCTACTTTCTACTTACCAACGGGTTCCGATGGTCTCGTAAGAACGATATTGCCTCTGTGGAGGGCAACCGGGGCCACGCTTTGTCGCCGCTGCAGATGGCATTGACCGGTCGTCCTCGCTTTACCCAGTGGAACAACGTGGTTATGACCAGCCTTGCTTGCTTTACTGTAAACATGCGGGGGTGGGTATTCTATAACAAAGCAAAAAAGGCTGTTTGGGCGTGCACGAGCTTCGCATCACAAGAAGAACCTCCCCGTTAATATATGCCAAACTGAAAGTCAAACAACGAGTCAGTTACAACGTTATGGAAACGGGTTCAGATGATCTCGTCGGCCAGCAACGGTTGTCCATACTTTCCCCATTGCCACATTTCAAGCTTTTGTCCACGTCGCGACGCTTTGCCAGTGGAACAAATCTACAAGCAAGTCATTGTCTTCTAATACTATGATTTCCTTTTTTGGTATGTGGATTGTGTACAAATAAGAGTAAACAAGTGTGATTTGAGGAGCACGCTTTGGTCGCGTTTTATGTTTAATGCTGCCACGGAACACTCTTCAACATTTTCATCATCCTCGTTTTTAACGTGCTAACAGAATAGTTGCAGACTACCTGCACTGAAACTCATTTTGATTAGGTTGGCGCTAATTGCAACACGCCAGCCGAGTTACCACACGTGTTTAGAGCGTGCTCTTAATCAAGGTTAACTCGCCTCGAAGCAGCCTTGCACGGGCTTACATATGTCATTCGCGGGCACACCTCTTGGTCAAGGCAGACGTCTGGATCACCACACATTCCTCAACAAGACACATCTTGCTACAGTTCACAATAATCCATCTGCTAGAACCGTCAATCCTCCCACAAGTCCACCGCGCTCAATAACAACGTCGTACGCGTACGGGTGAGCACTATCATATCATATCTTATAACAGCACCCTTATCATATCTTCACATGCACGTCAGAGCCCCAACAGCAGGCTCCAAATCACCGGCTAAACCCACATCATCTGCATCCACGGCTGACGCAGCAGACGACGAGACAGCCCTCGTCCGCTACGCCCGCCTAAAGCGCGAGCGGTCACTTCAGCAGTCCCAGCCAACGCTCGCTCCTGAGACGTGGAGCGTAAAGGACACTTCTGTTAATATTGCAAGTGCATTCTATCAGGCCGCATCTACATCACACGAGATGCACCCCAGCAATCCCAATAACGCCTGGGCCTCCGGATCTCAAACAAACCTCAACGTACCTCGAAGCACATCTGTCGACTACGAGAAAGAGACCCACTCTACCAGCAGTCGCCGACTAGCGCCGCCTCCAAATCGTCTTTCACAGCGCAATACGCGCAAGACCCTCTCAAAGCAGGACTCCACCACAACACATGTGTCCGACTCTGAAGGCGAAGACAATCAGGAGTCCCAGGAACGTAACCGCAGTGCTCGCGGGAAGAGCCCCTTTGAGCAGGTCGTCGACGTTTCTAAGCGCGCCCTGACGTCCGCAACCTCCTTTTACATGCGTCCCCGCTCAACCGAGCCCGAGGATATATCAGCTGTCAACACAACCACAAATGGCAGAGACTCCAGTTATGACTACGCATCAGAGGAGCTAGAGTATCAAGAGACAATGCGGCAAAAGCTAGCTCATGAGCAACAAGAGCAGTCTGCTTCTAAGAGGCCCGCACCCAGCCAAAAGCGGAACCGGATGTCCGTCGATAATAAGGCGTATCAACCCTCACAATCTGATATAGAAGGGGACTCCGACGATGTTTCTGACGACGGACGGAAAAGAAGAAGAAAATTTAAGAAAAGGGATTTAGGTGGTGGTCCTCTGACAACGCTGCCAGTAGCAGGCTACGATAAGCGACGGAAGAAGAAGAGAGGCAGCAAGACTAATGTTGAAGGTGAAGAAGAAGACGAAAGTAGCAGCGGAAGTGAGCAGGTAAGGGTAAAAATTTTGGATTTCAGCGTCTTTGCTCATCATCCTTCATAGCGTTCTTCGGGTCAGCATGCGTCGGCTACCCGCTCCGTGCCCCCGCCTTCAAGGTCCTCGATACCTCGAGGATCTGTCCCTCCCCATTCCGATGATCCAACTGACCTCGAAGTGGGGCTTGACTCCATTCCTGAGATGGATGAGCCTCCGGCTGTGGATGGCTTCTCCAACACATCTGACATTCCATCACGATCATTCTCGGTCGGAGGTCTTTTAGGCCTGGCTGTGAACCGTGCTATACGGCTCCTTCTGGGTATCTTCGCTTGGGCCATACGCATTGTTGCCCTCCTGGCCCTCGTTCTTGGCCGCATATTTGGGTCGATATTCGACATCATCTTCATGCGTCCAGCCTCCTTTTTCTCACGCATCAAGGCGGGACCATTCATCACCCTTGCCAAATACCTTCTCGTTGCTGCTGCTCTCTATGCCACTTGGCATCAGTTCCGTGATCCCGTCCTTCAAATGCTACCCATTCGCTCGCCGCAACGCCAATATTACGCACCCGACACGCCCATCACAAACCTTGATGAACTTGGCGCTAGGCTTCAAAATATTGAAGCCGCTCTGTCTGGTCTTTCCCTTGACCAACAACGTGCTCGTGCCCAGCAAGATCTTGAGGCTCGTGCCCATGGAGATGTTGTCAACCGAATTTTTGCTCTCGAGGCGCGCATTCGTGACGAGGCCAAGCGTGTTTCCGACACTGAAGCTCATCTCAAGTCATCTTCGGGTCAAGGTCTCGTTGACCTTAGACGTGAGGTTGAAGCCTTGCATTCTCAGCTAAGTGCTGTGGCATCTGCGCCTAGGGAAACTGTGATTTCAATGCCACCTACTGTTAACGACGAAGAGGCACGGGTTAAGTTGAGAGTTCTGGAGGAGCGGCTCGGAAGTATCGAGGGTGACGTAAAGGACGCCCTGGAGCAAACCAAGAACGCTGCACATGCTCCAGTAAACGTACCTGCTGGCCCAGCTTGGTGGTCGAAGCTGGCATCGACTGTTAGCACCGGTGCTGGTCTGACCATCAAGTCTGCGGATGGCTCGGACGTCACTTCGCTCATCTCCCAGCTCGTCGACAATGCCATTGCACGATATGGGACTCAAGATATCATTTCTCGTCCTGATTTCGCGCTCCACTCTGGTGGTGCACGCCCAATTCCCCATCTTACGAGTGGTACGCTTGAGTTGCGGCCAAGCACATTGCGAGGCCAGATCCTGGGTCTTATTACTGGCCATGGGTATGAAGTCGGCCGATCACCAATAACTGCTTTGCATCAGGATTTGCACAGCGGAAATTGTTGGCCCATGGCTGGGTCTTACGGTCAATTGGGCGTCATGCTCGCCTTCCCTACTATCATCTCTGATATCACCATCGACCATGTCGCCAAGGAAGTCGCGTTCGATCTTAGCACGGCCCCCAAACATATGGAGATATGGGGCCAAGTAGAGGGCGAGGATAATTTAGCAAAAGTTGCAGCATGGCGCGCAGAACAAGCTACGCGACAAGAGGCTGCAAAGGAGGTCGGTGAGGCTGTTTCTGAAGCGAATCTTGAGGACGACTATCCGGCTACGCTTCCCAGTGACGTTTCGTTCATCCGTCTTGCATCGTTCACATATGATATTCACGCACCTTCAAACATCCAAACCTTTCCCGTGCGCCAGGAAGTCCGCGATCTCTCTCTGGATTTCGGTATTGTGGCGCTTGTGATCAAGGATAACTGGGGCAAATACGGGTATACGTGTTTGTACCGCTTCCGCGTACACGGCGAACGCCCTGGAGGTGGCTCGTTACCTTTCCCTACTGAAAATTCATGACACTGACGACTTAGAAACGAGCGATCCGGCGGTGTGCATATGATATAATCGTTCTTTTATTTTTTTGGGAGTCGTTCCTTGTGCTATGGTTACTATTTTATCTCTTTTATTTGTCGTATGGGCTATGATGAAATCAAAGCATTTTCCAAGTATCTGGCGTCTCGTCTGTCAACACCGGTTCGTGCGCAAGTGAACATTTCAAGAATCATGAATCATCTCCCGATAAGCCGGGTATCTGTCATACTGGTTGATTTTGGGGCACGTGACTTCGAACACCCTTTCACGCGTCGCGGAGGCTTATGCTTCTCCTGATTCCCCCGCAAATGATAATTAATTTTGATGAACACAACAGCCTCGGAATCTAAGATATGGACTCTTGGACTTGTACTCAAAAAAATGAGACTTTGGTTCAAACACAACGTTAACGTTTGAAGTCGGTCTGCCAGCTCGAGCTGAATACCATTGGAGTCATGACTCAGCACTCCTGGTCAGCCTCAGGTATAAGACCCCCCCTCTGGCTTACTGTCTCTTCGTATTCCTCTCTTTCATCCCGCCTATTTCAATTCATCACTTCTTCATAACTTGAACAGCATGACAGGTATCGATATCACTGTCTTCAAAGGCTCCTCCAGCGGCAAGATCGTTGAGTCGACAAACCACAAAGACGGTCTCAAGTCTGACGAGGTCCTCCTCAAAATCACTCACGCCGGCCTTTGTGGTACAGATCTGCACTACAAGACTGATGACATGGTTCTCAGCCATGAGGGAATCGGCATCGTGCAGGAGGTTGGTTCCGAGGTCACCACCTTCAAAAAGTATGTACCTTCCTTCAAACCCTAGAGAGTCAGAAATTAACACCATAAGCAGGGGCGACCGCGCTGGCTGGGGATACTTGCATAACTCCTGTGGGCATTGTGACGAGTGCCTCAGTGGAAACGAGATATTCTGTCCAGAACGCGCCATGTACGGGTTCGCTGATAAAGACCAAGGCGGGTTCGCCTCGCACGCTGTCTGGAAAGCCGGCTTCCTCTTCCATATCCCCGATGCGATCTCTTCTTCCCATGCAGCTCCTCTTATGTGCGCCGGCGGAACCGTCTTCAACGCTATGCACCTCTATGGCATGTTACCCACCGATCGGGTAGGCATTATCGGCGTTGGCGGCCTCGGACATCTCGCTATCCAGTTCGCTGCGAAGATGGGCTGCCAGGTCGTGGTGTTCTCCGGGACAGAAGATAAAAGGGATGAAGCGATGAAACTCGGCGCGACTGAGTTCTACGTGACGAAGGACGTGCAGGAACTCAAGATAGGGGCACCCCTCAAGCACCTCTTCGTCACAGCATCCAAGCAGCCTAACTGGGATTTGTACGTCCCTTTTGTGATCTTGTGACTGCATCGTTTAACAAGCCTCGTATCACCTACAGCTACCTCAATATTCTCGCGCCGCGTGCCAAGATATACCCGCTCACTGTGTCCACTGATTCCATCACCTTACCGTACATGCAGTTCGTCGTTAATGGCATCACGCTCCAGGGCAGCATCTGCCCTTCGCGTGGAACGCATGTCAAGATGCTGAAGTTTGCAGCACTTCACAGCATCAAGCCCATCGTTGAGGAGTTCCCGTTGACTAAGGCTGGTATAGAGAAGGCGATGGGGAAACTTGAGAATGGAGATGTGAGGTACCGTGCGGTTTTGGTCGCTGAGAAGTGACATTGTAAGTGAAGGTGACGGCTTTAATTCTAAATTGTGCATTGAGTATTATAGCGTGTATGAGTCTTCACCTATCTATGCCCTAATTCAAATAATTCTTCGTGATGGATGACATGCATCCTACAAAATACTGCTCGGCATGAGTGCCCGGATCTTGGACCATAACATTTCAAGGCAACGCCGCATTTGCAGCGAATGGGTAGAAATCCAGGCAGTCGCCCCATACTAGACTGACGTGACCAGTGCGAGGATCGAGAACAGACTGCGCTGTATGTTACACAATCCGAATCGGTGGAAAGGACTCTGGTTGTATGATTAGCTTTTTTATTGCGAGCCAACGTCCAAGATACTTCACAAAGCCTCTTACCAAGCTCAGCGACATGAAACCCAAAACCCGTGTCATCTGCCAATCGAACTTGTGTGACTGTGGACCTTGACAAACGATACGGGCAGATAGATCCGCAGACAAGTTAAAGCTCCATATGTTCAATATCTTACACAAATTATCTCAAAATCCAAGTCCCCCCTGATCATAGACCTCGCGTTACTACAAACCCTTGGAAGCCATGATATCAGCTGCCTCTACAAGCTTCTTCTCGATGCCAGGCTCGCGCGAAGAGTGCCCTGCATCTGGGATGATGTGCAGAGTAATTTCTGGCCAAGCCCGTTTCAGTGCCCATGCAGTAGTCGCCTAGGAGTCCAAGCGTGTCAGTAAAGGCGTCTCTGGAAACATAAAAAATCTGCATACGGAGCATACGACATCGTATCTTCCTTGAACCACGATAGTTGGAATGTGGCGGCTGGGAACAGTAAGAAGGGATTAAGGACGGGCGTAGAATGCACATACATCTTATCGAGTTCCTGCTTCTCAAGCAATTGACCATCGCGCATGAAACCCTGCATAATCACCGCTTTAAATCACAATCGAGCTAACTTTCCAATTGACAGACCTCATTGACGAAATAGTGGTTTTCAATGCGAGCAAATGCGCTAAATGTTGATTCAGCAGAAAATCAACTCGCCGCTGAGTCCACGTACTTTGCAAAGTCACCTTTCTCCGCTTGGGCGACAGCATCCGCACTTACAATCAACCTTGATGTAGCCATCCTTGCAGTATGATGTCAGCAACGAGCATAGTACCAACGGAGCATCATCTACTTACTCCCACTTTGCCCACGCCTTTGCGGCGGCCAGACGGATATTTGCGTCCGGAGAGTTCAAGCGGCTGTGATATGCCTTCATCATGTCGTGCCGTTCAGCCTCTGGGATCGGGGCCAGGTATTCTTCCCTACACAACTTGGTCACCAGACAATGAAAGTTTGTTGTTACTGTGTTGTTTTACCATTGTTCGGGGAAAAGATGGGAAGTACCATCCTGATAGAAGAATCGCAGTTCGCTGAAAGAGGCGGGAAGTCAGCATGGTCTATTTTGGCTTATCAAGTGACGCATACCTTTGTCTTAGCGTGAAGATTCCACTTTGAAAGAATTTAGAATCGTCTAGCTTGTAACCAACACTATCGAGACTCACCGGAGAACGAGGGACTTGACTCTGTCTGGATGTGTCTATGTAACGAACTGACTGCTTAAACAAAACATTGTATAGAAGGAAGCCGATCACAAACCTGGGCGTATACAAGGGAGAGCGTAGAGCCCTGCACATCTGTGTCAGTGATGAAGTCTAGAAGAAAATGCGCTAACACAGACCCAGCTTCCGCCGAATACGTGCCATTTCGTGACACCTAGCTTCTGCCGAAGGACCTCGATGTCTTTCACGAGGTCCCACGTAGTATTGTTCTCTAATTCCGCGCTCCTACGCAGTTTCATGCAGGAGCGATGTCAAGGAACCGATGGAACTTACGGAGTGGACTTTCCTGCACCCCGTTGATCAAACAGCACAATCTACAACATTGAGAGAGTACAATTCATATGAATAAGATGACGTCCTCTATTAAATGACTGTTACTTACTTTATACTTCTCAGGGTTAAAGAACTCTCTATCCTTCGGATCTGTTCCGCCTCCTGGACCCCCGTGGAGGAAGACAACTACTCAGAAGTCAATAACCTTGATCCGAACTGCATAAAATATCATCGGAGCACGTACCTGGATCGCCTTGCTTGTTTCCACTCACTTCATAACTTCCGATCGATTATCATTTAAGTTACAACAGATGATCAAAAGACATACTAAAGCTGATGTTTCTCTGAATTCGCGCCCTGGAAAAAACCAGACTCGTAGGGCTTGATGGGAGGATACATAGCTGCAGGTTTCGACAGAGTGGTGGACGAAGATGTAAGCCGTGAGTACAAAGTAGAAAACAGAGTTATCCTTGCAATCGGCCCAGAACTCCTGGGAGTAGATAAGATGAATTGACGCCTTTGGTCGAAGGCCCTGCAGAAACACCTGATCATGAGGCCATTTGAAATTGTAGGAAAACCACGCGAAACCCGAACATGACCTCGTGCACGTGGTCATCAATCGAGGCCGCGCCCTCGCCACCACTTTCATTGTTCAATTCGCTCTGCATTCGAATGTCTCCAGTTTATGCTTCCTGTCTATCAGGTATGTCCAGGTAAGCAGACAGAAACGTAAGCTATCTGCGTCTCCGATGCTAACTTTGTTTTGATCTTATTTTCAAAACAGGACATTGCCCATTGCCTATCATCATTCATGTAGCTCGAGGACGGACAATGACACATGAGCGGTCAACCTGCGATGCTGCAGCGCCTACAGTCCATAGCATTCTCTGGGACTTGTTGGACACAACCAACATTGAGCGGATGGCTGCACTAGCTCAGCAAGACAGTGTTCAGTACCAGTTGCATTCTTCTTCAGGTAAACTGCGGCAGAAGTAAATATGCCGTAAAGGTATGTGTAAGGTTGGTGATCTATATACATATGTACTGGATGGATCAAATAATCTTCATTGGAGCTGCAGCCTGTTGAAGGTCTTGGAGCAGTAGCGGATCGCAATAAGCATTCTAATATTGTAATCACTATCCCCTCTTCAAGCTTCAGCTCATCGCTGCAATACGTCACGCAGAAGAACTCACACACAATCATCAGTAAACGAGCCATCCCTCTGCTGCCTGCAGAGCCGAGTCCCATCCATCAGGTCCCTTCTCCCAAGACTGCACGCTCTCTACCTCGTCCTTGCCCAGCTTAAATTCATTGTAGAGATGCGGAAACATGCCCTCCCCTCCGCGCGGACCGCACACCTCTGCTTTAGGGTCCTCCCACTTGATATTCTTCTCGACGGGGTCGTAAGGGATGCGGAGTACGTACACTTTGACGTGATCTTTGAGGTAGAATTTGAGTGTATTGGGGATTTGGCGTGCGGTGGAGAGGTGGATGAAGCCGGATGTCTGGTCGAGGTCGCTCACGGGGAGCCGATCGGGCAGGGGATCAGGTGGAGCTGCTGCTGATGAAATGAGCTTGTAAATGTAGGTTGGGCTGGCATCTGATGGTGAGGCCATGGTGTTTTGGGAGATTAGGGTTGAGTTCGACTCAGGACGGATTTAGATTGTGCAATGCAAGCTTATCGATGGGATGGACCAAGAATGGATGTGAGCACATTGCACAACTGGAAGATAATCTGATAGCCACATGGACAGTCACACAGTAAACGGCGTCAGTAGTCATTACAACTCGTAACAAGGTATATATATCGTGAATCCACCATGAACCTTATCAAGGCTCACACCATGTCTTCCATCGTCTTCTCCTTTGGCTTATGCATCATCTTCCAGAAAGTAAGAGCTGGCCACACTGCACGCCGCAGGAATGGAGCATTGGGGTCGTGGAATGAGCTATGCGTCTGAAGCGTGACAACGGTGTAAATTGTAAGGAGCGTGAGCGATACGGTGACCTCGACGTAGTGAGTAAGCGTCTGTAGACCTCCACTACTGAACTCTCCAACATTCATTCCAAACACAGACTGAGAGTATGCGGAGTTAGATGGGTTCCCCACTAAAGAACTTCGTGCTTACCGCTAAGAAGCTTGCCGGCAGGAAGATCATCGTGAGGTACGAGATCTAAAAGTTTGTTAATATCCGGTAAGTTACTTTAGTTTCAGAAAAGAAGGATACCTGTTTCATAGCTGCCGAGTCCCTGACCGTCGCCTCTGTTAGCTTTCGCGTCTGCTTACTGTCGTTGAGATTAACAGTCGCAAAAGCAAGGTCCATCACATTCTTCAGTCGGTTGGTCAGCATCCCACGTCGCTTTTCTAGACGATCAATTTCGCTGAGTAGATTCTGGGACTCCGAGTCCATAAGTTTCATTGATTCGTCGCGCTCGAGGGCGTCACTAGAGTCCATGGCCGGATTGTGGGTCTTCGCGATAAATTGTACTGATACCTGAAAGTTATGAAGGAGTGCTTGATATTGCAAGAGATGTGCTTGGAGGACATGAAGCTCGCGCGCGAGCTCCGTGTCACTCGCTTGCAATACTTTTGATTCCTGAATGTTCTTTAGCAACACTACTTCCACTCTGCACGAGGATTACATACCAGTTCACTAACATGGGTGTACAGCAGCTCAAAGGACTCATCCCATGCATAAAGTGGATACCACAAAATCGCGAGGAAGAGGAACGTCGGGTCTTTTGACTTGTCGAATATTTTTTGCCAGTACACACTACCCCCTACAAGCTGCATGAGCGAGTGAAGGCGCTTCGCGGATGTCCGGCACCATGTAGACTCGGGATGGTAGGAGATGATGGTGCTTGTCTTTACGTCACGGACCATGTGAATTGCGAGGAGGTCAATGAAAAGCATGCTGCCATCTAGGAAGGATGTTGGAATGTGAATATGAGGATCTTGATACACATACCACTCATGGGGAAAGGAGCCTGGGTGTTGATCAGAGTATCTGTTGAAGGTGAGCGGGATGACTACGACAGATAATGGGTCGCTTACTCGAGGATTGGGATAGTGGGGTTGGAGAGGCGGGTGCTGATCGAGAATTTTTGCGCAGCGTTCGGACAAATGGCAGGGTAATAGTAATGTCTATCGCACAACATCAGCATGGGACCCAAAATGGGAGATTTGGACTTACGATCTCCTTTGTTTTGGATGGGTGCTTCTTGGTATCGTGAGGGTATCCAATTTATGGAGGACGTGAAAAAGAATGGTTCGATGTTATATCTAAGTATGAGGAGCCTGAGAGCAAGTAGATAAGTAAAAAACCACTCCATACGTTGTGCCCAGCATGCGCAAGACCGGTGAGGTTAAGTCATCCACAAATATTGATCGCACTCGGATGTTTTCTGGTCGCTGCAAATCATCTTACGCCCTAACTAGTATACGAGAATCGGGGAGACTCACCTCCTCTTGTAATACACCCCAAAACTCATTCTCATTTTCAACTCCCACTACCATGGTACAACTATCTCCTCCGATATCTGGACTTGCAAAACTCCTGTCATCATGTACATCCATCCGGTAAATTGTGCTAGACTTATTCCCCAGACACTTTTCGAGCATCTTACTACGCTCTACTTGGTCTGGAGTCCAGTTCCCGAACTGGTTCTGAGGGTACCCACGCCAGGATGGGTCAATAGCAGTCGTAGAGGTCGTAGATTCCACGTCAAAGTCCATCCATGGCCATGGTCCGGATGGTGCCGCATGTCGATATCTGGTGAGAGCATCAGTCAGCAAAAATAAGGAAAATAAGAGGTTGATAAGAGGACAGAACTTACGGGGGCGCAGGCACCGCAGGTGGCATAGCTGTATTACCATCCTTGAGGTTTTGAAAAGCAATGTCATCCAAGTCGTCATGGCGCACTCTAAAGGCGGTGGCCAACGTTTTGATTGCCATGATGTCTTAGCGGTTAGAATGAGTTCATGCAGGAGTTGTCGTGCGGAAGAGGGACGGTAAATTTATTTATTTATGGGAGACAGGCGCCTAGCGCTACGCTCCGTCCGTTCTCGACGTGGTAATTCATCAACGTTCAATCGGATATAGACGCCTTCAATCAAATCGTTGCTTTTTTCAACCAATTTTCAAAGTTACCTTCACAGTACTTCAGCTTACAGTATGCTCCTGTGAAGGCCTTCGAATGCCTGAATTAAGTTTGGATGAGTTCGCCTGTCCTCTTCAAGCACACAAGAGGCTTGCCTCAATTAGACTTCGTGAGACAGTGAGGTGATGGCATGAGGCATATAAGGGGCATCACTCCAAAAAAAGGGTTCATAAATAATTGAAACCAGGTCCGAGGGGAAGAAGTCGGGCAAACCGAACCTGCGAGCCTTTTGCAATGCATATCTGTGTATTTGACATGGACTCTTGATAGTAGTTGGAACGAATGTTGAGACAAGCTCTCATGAGCTGGACTTAGACTCAGAGACTAGTACTTCACTCCAGCGATGCGACGAGCAAGCTCACATTAAACTTACGGCATGTTGATAAGGTCCAGGCCTAACCATGCGCCACCATCATTCTAGAATCATGTGTATCAACGGACCTTTCCTCAAACACGTTATCATAAAACTCCGAGTCCCACGCTACAAACGCCTCAATCAAAACTTTTCTCCAAACTAGTAGCCGAATTCTGTGACGACCGTCTCTTCCCTTCTCTTTCAGCTTCGCATGGGACATGCACCATTGAACAACTTTGAAACACTTTTATCGCAGTCCCAAGTCCCATTTGCTAACAATGCTACCAGCGCGAAGAGACCGCCCACTACTTCCTGATCGCCTGTCTAGTGTACTTATGCTAGACAACGCCGTGTACTCTAGAATGAACTAGGCCCCCCGAGCTAGTCACCTCATGAATCTGTTGAACAACCGAAAATACATTAAACCATTGCTCTACTTCATCGTCCACGCACAGACTGGAACAGATAACTGGAGATGCCACACTACCTGACGACGACGACGACGAAAAAGAAGTATGAACGACGAACCTACACCCCATCGCGTTTATTTGGCTTTAATTGTCCTCGCATCCTGCTTGGACCAATGCACATACATCACATGACTTGTAGAAGCATACAGCATTTCACGGTAAATACTTGTATGTTTTGTTTACCATAGGGCATCTCCCCCGACGGGCAATAAACGTTAATGAACACTGACCCCCCAAAAAAAAACTTCCAGTAGCAATTGAGATGGCTACGGCTTGTAAGCGCTAAAGTACAGTGATAGCGGGTCCTGTCACCAGCGCTGCTGCCGACTTCCATGGCAGTCTTGTCGAAGGACTCATCTCAAGATTGAAGTACTAAATTTAAAATATCTGAATCTCCCTCTGAGGCAGGCCAGGTCTATAACAATCTTCGCCCGTATTATAAATGTATGGCTTTGGTGTTCATCCCCACGAGCGACATGCCTCTGACCAACCAAAACTCAAGTGAATGAAACAGCGCCAATATCATTAGCTCAACAGAGTTGGCTGCCGGATAGTCTGCTCGGATACCGGGTGCCCGCTCGACTGCATGCGATAAAGCCTCCAATTGGGCCCTGAGTCAGCTGCGAGTTCTAGGGCGAAAGGAATAAATAGCAGGGTAGCTTGGCATGCGTTTGCATACTGATACCACGTAGTCAGGTCCGGGCTTGGTTTTAGGCGACCGTATCAGGCCATCTGCAGCGAGAGAGTGAGTTGTCACGGTGATCTAAGAATCAATATTCAATGATGATAGGCTCGCAATTATAGACCCCCCCTAACATGTCTTTGGGCGGGCTGTCGCTCAAGTCAACGTGTGCGTGCATACTTGATGGACACGCTGCTATGAAATTCCAAGAACTCACCGGCCCGCTGATGTAGTGCTAGCAGCCCTGCTCAATTCTAAAAAATTTAAAGTTGTGTTCAAAGTCAATATAAGTTAGTCCTCAGTCATCCTCTCGTAAATCAATACATACGCCGATACGCGGACTCTAATGACTGACGGCTTAGTGCTGCTCGCCAGCCTGCTGGCTCTGCTCGCAGCTGAATTCTGAAAAAAAATCATCAAGTCGTGTTCAGAGTCAACGTGACAGCTTACTTGAAGTCATCCCCAGTCATTCATTCTCTCGTAAATTAATACATACGCGGACTCTAAACCTTTTCATGACACATGTGATCTGTCTGTGTTTCTTGGGCAAGACTTGAGTGATTTAAGTATTTTTCATGCAGTATCTCCAGTAATAATGAGACATACTTGACATATTCAAAGGACTCTGATTATGGAGAGGTTTAGTGTGCAATGCGATATGGAAAGATTGGATAGCTAACTTGGGCTCTACATAGTGGATAACGATACTCTGCGATGCGTCGCACTTGCTCCTCCTATGCGAAGGTTTAGCGGACGCGAAGGTGGACAAATTAGGAAATGTTTAGGGTCCGCGTTTGCATTTAACTTACGATGATCGACCTAAGCTGTTTGACTCTGAACACAACGTTAACTGAAAATTTCAAGTGTTTGAATTGAGTAGCACTTATATGTTATAATATATATTATGCTGTTCGCCCATCTTACTTCCTTGGACAATGTATCATGTCGTCCTCGGGCCCCACTCTTGCTCAGATCGAAGGCGAGTCTGGCTGATTGACTTGCTGCGTCGCTGGAGTTAATTTTCTTTTTAGTCGTAGGCATTGTCCTCACGATCGTAGCTGTCATTGCCACATCCTTTCGCTTGTGTGTTCGTGCACGGCAGAAACGTCTGTGGATTGACGATGCATGGGCGGCCATCGGCATGATATCCAACTTCATGCTATTAATCGCCGATTGCTTGTATCTGCAAGACTACGGTGAGCGTCTCCGTAGTGTGTACGCCGTATATATTTTACTGAAGAAACACAGAAAGATACCCTCAAGGCACAAGGATAGCATTATACTATATGTATGTCTTCTTTTTTCTTATACTTGAGAGACGTTACAAATACCACATCAGGATTGCCCAATTCTTTTACGCAGTTGTATGGTAAGATACCGGCGCTCTAGTAGCAGTGACGTGGTAGAGTAACAGGATTGACATGCACACATACATAGGTCATCGAGGATATCCATATTGTTTACCATTGTGCGACTCACAATCCCGGGAACCTTTTTTAGGAGGGTTCTCATATCCGCTGCCGTGACCTTCGGCATTGTATGGGCTCTACTCTTTTCACAACTATGGTGGCTTTGTGAAACCGAGTCCAGCTGGAAAGCACAACCACATCCGCAGTGCGATCTCGGCAGAGGTGTTGCGATAACACAGATAATCAGTGAGGATTTATTGTTCGTGGGATAGCATCAGTCTTCTGATGTATTTCAGCTGACGTTCTGGGGGACTTTAGTCTTATCTTTTCTCCTTTTTGCCTCATTTACAAAGTCAGATTGTCAACGGGGCAAAAAGTTCGGGTATTATCTGTCTTCTCTGCATCAGCGATCACCACAGTTGTTAGTCTCGTCCATGCATATTACATCTTTTCTGGTGGAGGGCTAAAGGAGGTCATGGCTGCTATAGTTGAGGTGCGGTATCAGTGTTTAGACTCGAGCGCTTCTGATCGCGCTTTAGGCTTCTATGTCTCTAATTGTCGCGAACCTGAGCGTCGTTGTCGCGTCCATCTTCCGTTTAAAGGTAGAAGAAGATTCACCATCCACTCCAACACCCATCATAACTTTTGGATCACAACCCAAGAAGCGCATTCGTGACCCTCTTGCTACGACTTTTACAGGTCCTGAAAGTACCCCGATCGTACTGGAGGATTTATCTGAGTCTCGCCCCCATTCTCTGAAGACGGGCGACGATGACGAAATTTCTTTCGACAATAGAGAGGCAAAGCAGACGAATGAATGGTAAAAATTGTCCAGAATATAACCACAGTATTTTGGTGAATTTACCTCTTCCCACGTTCTCTAGTGCGAACGGGTGCGCACCAACATATCCCTACTAATATTGTTTATATCAATCAACTGTCCCTACGGTCTATTCGTGAGTACTTAATAATGCAAAGTTTGTGTTTGCGACACGCAGTTTGCACTTTACGATATGGAATTTGCGCTCTGTAATACATAGAGCGATGCAATACGAACTTTGCAAAGGTTATGTCGAAGATATACAAGAAAGGAGCACACCCCAATACAGTAGTACAAATATATAAGGTAATTCACACATCTACGTGCTTACCCGACTTGACGCTCCCGAAAAAGCTTGCGATCACAAACTAATTTATTATGTTACAACTCAAACAATATACCTGGCCAGGTTCAAGCTATTCGACCACTATCAAAGATACCTAGGATACCCAAGACAGCTCTGTTCGACGCCTGCGATGTCGATCCACATCCCACTCCCTATCCCAAGTCATCCAGATGAGGCTTCGCCACCATCGGCACTTTCGGAGAAGGAGCAGACTTTATATAACATTGTCCTCGAACACTTCTCTGCCGCAGATTATATACTTCCAAATGTCAACCAAGAGAAGGCTGCACTAGTAATGGATGAAAAGTTTTGGCTGGTCAGTGCACTTTCTCCTCACTCTTCAATTTCATGTAGTTGGTTGACCAGCGTTACTACTTGACCATTAATAGTCATATGAATGTCTGCTGAGATACCTACGTGCTACAAAGTGGGATGCGAATGAGGCCATCAAGCGCTTGGAAGACACGTTAAAATGGAGACGCGATTTCGGGATTTATGATAAGATCACGCCCCAACATGTCGAACCAGAGGTATGAGGACACGAATTCTTACAGGTTCACCCGTTCAATGCGATTAACGAAGGCAACGACCGGCAAAGAGTTCCTCTTTGGCTATGATACTCGGGGTCGACCTGCCCTTTATATGTGCCCCTCAAAGCAGAATACTGAGGAATCACCACGTCAAATCCATTATACTGTCTGGATGCTCGAACGCGCTATCGATCTTATGGGTCCAGGTGTTGAGTAGGTACCCTTTCATCCATCGATTTTGAAATTTATTTCGGCACTATCTAGGACCCTTGCATTGATGATAGATTATGCGGATAAAGCCAAAAACCCATCAATCACTACGGCTCGCACAGTGCTCAACATTCTCCAGACACATTATCCAGAACGCCTCGGTCTTGCGCTCATTGCACATCTTCCCTGGCTTTTGCATGCATTCTATAAACTAATAACGCCATTCATTGATCCCCTCACTCGGCTGAAGATGGTCTTCAACCCCGTCATCACCGAAAATGGTCTCTTTCGGACGGCTGCAGATGCTGAAGCCTGGAGTACCAATAGTGCATCACGGGTATTTGAGCCGGGACAGCTTGTGCAGGAGGGTTGGAATGGCTCTCAGCCGTTTATATATTCCCAGGATGTTTATTGGGAAGCATTGGTGAAGCTATGTGAAGAGAGGCGGTCTAGGATGGCCGCGGCGTGGCATCGCATTGGAGGGAAGGTCGGTACTAAGGAGTGGGAAGTTAAAGTTGCCGTCAGGGACGAGACGATGAATGTGCAAGTAGATGCGGAAAACGTGCTGGTGGAGAATGGCCAGTTACAGTCCTGAAAAAACAGTATTTGGTACGATGGATGAAAATGTACACGCGCGCTATCTTTGTCATCGGCTTTGAGGAGTTGATAACATTGAGCGCTGAGCACGTACCCTGGGACGTACACGGAAATCCCCGCATAACTGTTTACGTTCTCAACCTTGAGTGGGCTTCGGCGCTTAACGCTCCCGAAGAAGCTCGGGATCACAATGACTAACATAATATGAAGCCATGACACGCCAGGACAGCTCTATCCAACGACTACGATGTCGATTCACGTCCCACTCCCTATCCTGACTAACTCGCGTGATGTTGCGCCACCTTCAGCACTTCCCGAGAAGGAGCAAACTCTATATGACCGTGTTCTCGAACACTTCTCTGCAGCAGAATATACGCTTCCGAATGTTAATCAGGAGAGGGTTGCACTGACAGTTGATGAAAAGTTTTGGCTGGTCGGTGCATCTTCTTATCGCACTCTTCACTTATGTGCATCTGGTTGACCAACGGTCGATACCTTGTCCAAACAGTCACATGAATGTCTCCTGAGATATCTACGTGCTACCAACTGGAACGCAAATGCGGCCATAAAGCGATTAGAAGATACACTCAAGTGGAGACGTGAATTTGGGATCTACGACAAAATTACTGCTGAATATATTGAACCAGAGGTACGAGGGGCGAGATTCCCAAGTTCATGTTTGATACGTATGATTTGAAGGCAAAGGATGGCAAAGCGTTTCTCTTCGGCTACGATGCTCACGGTCGACCTGCCATCCATGTGAGCCCCTCAAAGCTGAGTGCCGAAGAGTCACCCCGTACAATCCAGTTCATTGTCTGGATGATCGAACGCGCCGTTGACCTTATGGGGCCAGGTGTTGAGTAGGCGCCCTTCTACAAATTATATTTATTTCGAAACTTATTCTAGCGTTATCTAGGACCCTTGCGGTGCTAGCAGATTATGCAGACAATACCGGGAATCCATCATTTGGTATGGTCCGCACAGTATTGGACATCATTCAAACACATTATCCAGAACGCCTCGGTCTTGCGCTCATCGCACATCTTCCCTGGCTTTTAAACACATTTTTTAAACTACTCACGCCATTCATGGATCCCTTCACCCGACAGAAGCTGGTCTTCAACCCTGTCATCAATGAGAATGGTGTTTTTCGAACGACCGAGGACGCTGAAGCATGGAATGCCGACAGCATATCACGAGTATTTGAGCCAGAGCAGCTTATCCAGGAGGGTTGGAATGGCTCCCAGCCGTTTGTCTATTCTCATGCCGTTTACTGGGAGGCGCTAGTGATGCTATGTGAGGAAAGGCGGTCTAGGATGATCGCGGTATGGCATTGCATTGGGGGAAAGGTTGGCACTAAGGAGTGGGAAGTTAAGGTTGCTGTCAGGGATGAGCCTATACAGGGGATTGACAGAGAATAACCAGCCTTATTCCTAGACAGCAGCCAGGTTTCATTGTCTATTTGTATTCCATTTTCTTCACTGACACTGATATGTTATTATACCGGAGCGATGTACACGCGTGCCAGGTCAGAATATAGGGCTGTCGCTTTAAGACTCCCGAGAGTAACTTGGTATGACGTGTTGAAGCCTACCCTGGCATAACTCGTCTAGGCTAACTCTTCACATTAGATTCTTCTTCATTGAACACTATAATTAGGATCAATTTTACGACAGGGAACTAGAGGCCTCCGGCGGTGAACACAACAACCCCGGCCCAAGTGGCGTACACCCTCCCTGCCCAGCATCTGAAAAGTCTTGACCCCATTACTGCTAGTTGACAAATGCACATTATGCTGGAAAGCGATTGAAATCACTCCAGTTCCCGTATCAAAGTCGGCCAGAAGCCTAGCTCGATATTTTCAAACACTAAGAATCAGGTGGTCCCACCGCAAACATCTGCACAACCAACAAAATTTGAAGAACACCCGAAAAAATATGAGTTCCCATGGACGATGCATCCTATATAAATGATAACCCTTCATCGTATGCGGAGGTCAGTGAGTGACAGATCGGCATACCGTTGAGAGTGTTGGAGACAACAAGTAACCGAGGGTAAAGCAAGAAACAATAACAAGGCTACCACGCGCAGAACTTCAGTGGAAAAGAGAACTAAGTTCACGTTATGAGCTTACCTCGCAAGCTAAACCACGTAGGTTTTTATGAACACCATGAAACAGTCCCTGATCATACCTCTTTTCGATGGTCGTTGTAATTCATGAAATATTTTAGAGCAATCCTGACTGCAAGACCCAGTGCGAGGATTTCCCAGTAGTGAGCACCCAAATTATGGTAGACACAAGTAGGTCATCTCCCTCGACGTCAACTTCGCACTGATAGGTGCCTATGAGAATGAGCACCTCTGGTACTCGTCGATGCAACGAAATCTTTCAGCCAAAATTGAGCTCACCCGTTGTTATTGCAATCGTCACTCCGTCGGCGATGTTGACAGCCAGGAATACGACAACGAGACATATCAGCACCTTTCTGGATCGCTGATACATGGTATGTACTAACCGAGTGGTCCTGATAACTTGCATGGTTTATACTATTACAATATAGCGCACCTAGGATATCTGCGAGTCAGTACAGCTTTCTAACTACACTTATAACGCAAGCTAAATACACTCAGAGTCTCAGATACAAGAGTCATCAGGGATCGGCGTTTCATCTGTTGTAAATTAATCATATTTCACGTCGTTCTTGTGATGTGGGACTCTGCTCACCCAGATCAGTTCGACCTGTAAACCTATTCTTAGCGAGATGACTGCTCCAGAAATGGCATCAACCTACCTCTTGGACGAACGTCAGGGCTTGAAATACCACAAGATTGTCAGCGGTTTTTTCATGCTATCTTGCTCACCTCGTCATCACAGTAGCGGAGGTAACTGCAAAACTGTAGCCAAGCTTAGATCGGGACACGATCGTCATCATCCGACTGGCTCTCCACGAACATATAAAATACGACATGAATGGATGACCGGCCACCAAACGGGATCATTTGAAACTACTAGTAGGGTCATGTTATTCGAGGATGAATGAACGAGCGACGAACTTGGTAGACGTAGTGTTCGTGCGAGACATGCCACCATTCAACGCCTTCATGTTCAAAATCAGCGTTATGGGGATGTTAACCGTTCCTGCCATGTGATGAAACGGGTGTGAAATGCACTGATTTATAACCCGCAATTGAAGCTTAATGATCAAGTGGGCTTCTTGTAAAACGACAAAGAAAGGAAAAGAAAAATCAACACAATAGCAATATTTAATAAACAATAACTCATAGGCAATGCAGCAGGAGAGGCGGCATACTAACAATGATTGAATAGATATATAGTGACCATAGGAACACACTCACAAGTTATATCGCATGGCATTTCGACGTCACAAACGGTGTACGCAATATCTATGAAAAAGCAGTGCCAGGAGTAAGACGGGATTTTTGTAGTGACGCATCAATTGGGCGAAGCACCAGCGTCAAACAGCACCAATCCATACATACGGACATGGAAGCTACAGATCTAGAGGCACCCCGGCATAAAATGACCAGCATTTCGGGTTTACCATTTACAGGGAAATTGTAACTTGGTCAGACTGCCGCCCGCATAACCGTTACGAAAGCTTAGCTTTCAGCATCAGCGACAGTATATGTACTGATTATGGGAACTCAGATAAGCCGGCGTGCTTACAGAAATAAAAAAATAAAAAACACGTCGAAGGAGAGCCATTGTGCCGTAATAGCCCGCCAAGATGGATAAGACTGGTCAGATAAACCTCGTAAATAGCACTACAGAATAGTACTGACCCTTTTAGTTTGAAACTAGTAATGGAGCAACTGCTGTTTTTTGACTTCTCAGGTGGACAGCTTGAATCAGATAACCCAACTTGAACAGCTACGTCACGTGCATTCCATAATTTCAACCGATTTTTCCTCTTCAACCTTCTTGATCAGGTCTAGGGAGGACCATTAGGAAAACCCCGATCTGCCCAGCAAGTCACTAGTACTTTTGGTGCTTCAAGTTGGGCCACTTATTCGTTTAAGACTCCCGAAAGAGCTCAAGATTACAATAACTAACGCCGTATATATAATGTGAAACACACCCCAGAAGAGCTCTATCCAACGACTGCGATGTCGATTCACGTCTCACTCCCACTGCTCCCGACTCACCCGCAGGAGACTGCACCACCTTCAGTACTTTCCGGGAAGAACCAGACTTTGTATGACTGTGTCCTCGAATACTTCACTGCCGTAGACTATACACTTCCGAATGTCGACCAGGAGAAGGCTGCACTGACAGTTGATGAAAAGTTTTGGCTGGTCGGTGCATCTTCTTATCGCACTCTTCACTTATGTATGTCTGGTTGACCAACGATTGATACCTTGTCCAAACAGTCATATGAATGCCTTCTGAGATATCTACGTGCTACCAACTGGAATACAGATGTGGCCATAAAGCGCTTAGAAGATACACTCAAGTGGAGACGTGAATTTGGGATCTACGACAAAATTACTGCTGAATATATTGAACCAGAGGTACGAGGGTGCGAGTTTCTCAAGTTCACGTTTGATACGAATGATTCGAAGGCAAAGGATGGCAAAGCGTTTATCTTTGGCTACGATACTCATGGTCGACCTGCCATTCATCTGAGCCCCTCAAAGCTGAGTGCCGAAGAGTCACCCCGTACAATTCAGTTGATTATCTGGATGGCCGAACGCGCTTTTGACCTCATGGGTCCAGGTGTCGAGTAAGTGCCTAATATTTCTTTCAGAACTTATTTCAACGCTATCTAGGACCCTCGCATTGTTGGTGGATTATGCAGACAACACCAGGAACCCGTCATTTGGCTTGTGCCGCACAATGCTCAACATCATTCAAACACACTATCCAGAACGCCTCGGCCTTGCGCTCATTGCACATCTTCCCTGGTTTTTGAATGCATTTATTACACTACTCACGCCATTCATGGATCCCCACACCCGGCAGAAGTTGGTCTTCAACCCTGTCATCGACGAGAACGGTCTGTTTAGGACAGCTGCAGATGCGGAAGCTTGGAATGCCCACAGCACATCACGAGTATTCGAGCCAGGCCAGCTTATCCAGCAGAGTTGGAATGGCTCGCAACGGTTTACGTATTCCCATTGCGTGTATTGGGAAGCGCTTGTGAAGCTATGCGAGGAGAGGCGCTCTAGGATGTTCGTGGTGTGGCATCGCATGGGTGGGAAAGTTGGTATTAAGGAATGGGACTTTAAGGTTGCTGCTAGAGACGAGACGATCGATGTGCATGTAGATGAGGATGGAGCTTTGATGGAGAATAGCCAGCTTCAGTCGTGAGGAAACCATAGCCAAGCATTCGTTGTCAATTATTTCGTTTTTGACGTGCTAACGTAGATCGAATCTATACGCCCCTTGAATTGTTTCACAGACTTGCTGGTAAATCCAAGTTTGTTGTGCTTTGGGATCTGTCGGAGGACGAGCATAGTTAAATTGAAGATCAACTCAGATTACAGAATGTCAGTACTAATCTATCATGTTAAAGACTTCCCACTGGTTCCAGTCTCATCTGCGCTATGACGCAATGTAGGAACGATAATGCAATATGCGAGTGCTGTGTGGAGCAAAGACGTACAGTCATTAATGCTTCAAGGTCGCGAGCTCATATCTAACCCAATATAGAAGTTCAATAGGGGCCAGCAACCACAACTCCACGATCAAGCGGTAAAGGGTAGGCGCGGTAGTGAGCAATGGTGTGTTCTCGTCCCTCGCGGAAAAGACATTGCAGTATCTTGGCAACTAGACCAACGACAAGCTTCTTATCTATGGGCCTATAATTGGCTCTGCACATAATGAACTGTCGTGAAAGAAGAGAAGCCAGGGAACGACACGGTTCCAGGCGGAGGCGAGACATTGTTTTATCTCAGTGCGAGAACCATTGTCGATATTGTCGAAGATTGTCATGATCCCGACACATGACCACCGGATGAGCTCAATGTCGGTGGTAGGTTGACTTCGCAGGAACGCAATCTGGGTCGAGGTGCATGTAGAACACTGACTGCAGTATGCATGGCTCAGATGTGGACCAATCTGCAACTTGATCGCAGAGCTGCTGCAAGTCTACTACCGAACGATTCGACACTCCCTGGACCAGCCTCTGAGTAAGCAGCGATGACAATATTAAGGACCGATCAAAAGGCACTCGCCTGTATATGCTTGGGCAGTTGTGATAGCAGTGTCACTGAGATCATTCACTCACCACCGTCCGTTTTCACTGAACAGTGAGAACTTCTCAGTGAAAATGAACGGTGGTGACTGAGTCTCTCGTAGGTAGACCAAATCGAAGGACTTGAGATCTAGTGCAATCGGCCCTCAAGGCCTCATGTTCGATATCAAGGTGCCTCCCATATTCCGAGTCAGAATTTTTTGAACGCCGACTCGAGGTCGAATAAAAATAGAATTGAATACATTTTGTACGTAAGACCGTACGACTTCAACGTATATATAATGTAAAACTATCAGGACACCCCAGATAAGCTCTATCCGATGACTGCGATGTCGATTCACGTCCCACTCCCAGTCCCGACTCACTCGCATGAGACTGTACCACCTTCAGCACTTTCCGAGAAGAAGCAAACTTTATATGACTGTGTCCTCGAACACTTCACTGCCGTAGACTATAAACTTCCAAATGTCAACCAGGAGAAGGCTGCACTGACGGTGGATGAAAAGTTTTGGCTGGTCGGTGCACCTTATCGCACTCCTCGATTTTGTGCATTTGGTTGACCCGCGCCACCCTGTCCCATGGTGACTAACAGTCATATGAATGTCTTCTGAGATATCTACGTGCTACCAACTGGAATGCAGATGTAGCCATAAAGCGCTTAGAAGATACGCTCAAGTGGAGACGTGAATTCGGGATCTACGACAAAATCACAGCTGAATATATTGAACCAGAGGTATGAGGGTGCGAGTTCCTCAAGTTCACGATCAATACTAATGATTTGAAGGCAACTACCGGCAAAGAGTTTCTTTTTGGCTATGATACTCACGGACGACCTGCAATCTATGTGAGCCCCTTAAAAGTGGGTGTCGAAGAGTCGCCCCGCACAATCCAGCTCACCGTCTGGATGGCCGAACGCGCTTTTGACCTCATGGGTCCAGGTGTCGAGTAAGTGCCCTTCTACGCATCACATTTCTTTCAGAACCTATTTCAGCGCTATTTAGGACCCTTGCGGTGTTGGTGGGTTATGCAGACAACATCAAGACCCCGTCATTTGGCATGTGCCGCACAACACTCGACATCATTCAAACACACTATCCAGAACGCCTCGGCCTTGCGCTCATTGCACATCTTCCCTGGTTTTTGAACGCACTTATTACACTACTCACGCCATTCATGGATTCACACACTCGGCAGAAGTTGGTCTTCAACCCTGTCATCAACAAGAATGGTCTGTTTAGGACAGCTGCTGATGCGGAAGCTTGGAATGCCGACAGCACATCACGAGTATTCGAGCCGGACCAGCTTATCCAGGAGGGTTGGAATGGCTTGCAACCATTTACGTATTCCCATTGCGTGTATTGGGAAGCGCTTGTGAAGCTATGCGAGGAGAGGCGCTCTAGGATGTTCGTGGTGTGGCATCGCATGGGTGGGAAAGTTGGTATTAAGGAATGGGACGTTAAGGTTGCTGTCAGAGACGAGACGACCGAGGCGCATGTAGATGAGGATGGAGCATTGATGGAGAATGGCCAGCTTCAGTCGTGAGGAAGTCACAGCCAAGCATTCGTTGTCGATTATTTCCTTTTTGACGTGCTAACGTAGATAGAATCTATACGCCTCTATTTTGCTTTAGGATCTGTCGATCATGGCTAAATTGAAGGTCAACTCAAATTACAGGATGTCAGTACCAATCCATCATGTTAAAAACTTCCCACTGGTTCCAGTCTCATCTGCGCTATGACGTAATGTAGGAATGATAACGCAATATATGAGTACTGTGTAAAGCGAAGACGTACAGTCATTGACGCTTCAAGTTTCAAGGTTGCTCCCACTCGCGTAATCGCGAGCTCATATCTGACCCAACATAGAAGATGAATATCGATGGACAGTGCAAGCAAGACCTGAGCAACATGAACACACGCACATTTATGGTTACGTCTGAGCGTTGGCACCGTTTCCATGTCTAACGCAGTACGTGGACTGAATAAGACCTGCGGTGACGAACATCGATTCGAGGGTATCGCGATTACCGAACAAAAGAATGATCGTTGAAGATGGCCCCTTGGATCTGGCCATGACGATAAGCGGCCCACGACCTCATTTTCAGAGAGACCATCGAACAGAAAGAGGTAGTGTCGAAGAGGTAGAACTGATACTTCTTCCTCATCTATAGTGATCTTGACAACGAGTCGGTCCTGATCTCGCGGATACTTGTACCGCGCAGCGGCGATCTGGCTCTGAATATCCCCCCACCTGCACAAGACCTCGTAAGCTTCTATGCTAGACAGCAGACAGAGACTACGTTTCACGTAGTGCGGTGTCGATGAGCCTGGGTAGATTGTCAGGGAAAATGATGCGCAGTTGAATATTGAAAAGACTTGCCAACAGCTGCCTTCAAAAATTTACAGCTCCACTTGCGATGACTGTACCAGGAATCACGCTGGCATCGCTTTGAGCAGTACCGCACAACCTGACATTCCAAGCATTGCCTAAAATGAATATCTTCTGTGGCAGCACCACAGTAACACTGTTCTTTAAGTAAGTTGGTCGGCAGGAACGAAGCAACAAAGTCTGTTACTGACTCGTAGAATCCAGCCCTTTTCATCAGGTGATGGCCGCCTTATCCTTTCTTCCCTGGACTTGAGACTGGCGTATAATCGTATCTTCATCTCGACTGCAGACCAGCGCTTTCGGACGGCTTCATCTTGTATCACACCTGGTCCAAGAGCATTAGACCAGGCGTCCACATGTTTGCACGCGTAGGTCAAGATTTTGTCGTAGACGAGGTGACCTTGTACCATCATAAGAAAATTTTCGTTGTGATCATCAAAATCAACCTCCACAGGGGGTCCTTTGAGACCCATGGCTATTTCGAAGGCATGTGAGTGGAGAGCTTGATGTAACACTGAGATAGTGTCATCGGCACAGACAAGGAGAGCGGCGAGGTACTCGAAAGTCCAGACGAGTGTGAGTTTGCCAAATACGCATTCCACGGCCTCTATAGAAGAAAGATGAAGCTGAATAACGCGGCAAACCAAGAAAATCTTTTCGACGGATTGTCGTAGGATAAATTCTTCCCGCGCGGCGGCGCTGTGCTTGCTTATTCTGACAATAATAATAACACAGTTCGAAAACATGTGTACAAGCATCCCGAGAGATGATGAAAGGCTTGTGACTCTATTAGGGTCCTGGGCCATTAATCCTATGTGCATGACATGTTCCAGAGCTGTAGAAACGAGTGTACCGATGTTGCCTGACACTTCGAGCATGGTGGTTACAAATGTTTTGTCGCTCATGCACTTTGCAACAAACATGAGGACGATAATTTCAAGAGAACCGGGGTTATGGTCATAGAGCGATTGATACCATGGATACTGGGCAATGATCGACACATCCTCGTATTTTTTTTTGAGGATGAGTAACCATAACTCTGCGAGCGGGTGATAAAGGGCGGGTATAGTAGGGAGGAATGCTGTGTCCACGCCGCTTGTGGTGATGCTATACTGCAAGACAGAGCTAACCAGATCGACAGCAAGCCTCTCACCGATCGGCCTATAGTTGGCTCTGCGCATGATAAACTGGTTATGAAAGAAGGCAAGCCAGAGAGCAACGCGGTTCCAGGAGGAAATCAGATATTGTTCTGATTCAGTACCAGGACGACTCTCGTTAAACGTTGTTATGATCCCGGTAAGTGACCACCGGGCGAGCTCAATATCAGTGATAGCGGCTGGAGTCGACTTTTCAGGAATGCAATCTGGGTCGAGGTGCATATAGAGCACTGGCTGCAGCATGCGTAGCTCAGGTGTGGAGCAATCTGTAAGTCGATCACAGAGCTGCTCAAAGTCCGCTACCGAACGATTCGACACTCCCTGGACCAGCCTCTGAGTAACCACCGGTACGCAGCGATAACAAATTAGTAAGGATAGATCGCAAAATGCTCGCCTGTACATCCTGGGGCAGCTGTGACAGCAGTGTCGCTGAGATCATTTTCAGTAAAAATGGGCGGTGACAGGTGGTGACTGAGTCTCTCGTAGGTAGACCAAATCGAAGGACTCAAGATCTAGTACGATCGGAGCTCAAGCTCTTAGCCTCGTGTTCATACGCTAGATCTAGCATATCATAGTACACCAATCATAGTGAGCGAAGCGCTTATCAGTGATATCGCCTTACCGGGGTTCCTCCCATATTCAGAATCAGATTTTTTTGAATGGCGAGAGTAGAAAGAAAAAAAAAAAGTTGAATACATCTTGTACCTCAGACTGTACGACTTCAAATGTTCATAAGATATCCCGGGCCCGTTTCAACTTTCAACCAGTCACCGGCATCAACAACCTCCTGAGCCTCTCACAATTGAAGTATCGAGCCCAAATTGCAACATTAGACAAGTATAAATAGCTCCAATTGAAGTGTGGGGATGTGTGAGGGGTAAACTGTACTATCGTAAACAGGGCGAAGGCATAGTCAACCAGCGTTCGTACTACTACTAACTAGCAATGATAAAATATCAGAAGTTATGACTGTGTCATCCCTGTCGGAACGAGCTCAAGCGAGATCCGTCGAACAATGTACAATACTACTTCACACACACTGACGGTTACGGCTGAGCGTTTGCGGCACTATCTCCATGTCTAACGCAGTACACGGGCTGAATAAAAATTGCCGTGACAAATATCGATCGTTTATCGTGATAACCGAACAAAAGAATAGTTGTCGAAGGTGGTCCCTCGGATTTGGACAAGACGATGATAAGCGGCTCACGACCTCATTTTCAGAGAGCCCATTGAACAGGAAGAGGTAGTGTCGAAGAGGTCCAACTGATTCTTCGTTCCTATCAAGAGCGAGCTCGACCACGAGTCGTTCCCGATCTTTCGGATATTCCCACTGCGCAGCGGCGACCAACTTCCGAATATTGTCCCATTTGCGTTCTATATGGCATTCTTCTAGAGCGGCTAGCAGACACAGACTACGTTTCACGTAGTGTGGTGTCGATAAGCCTGGGTACATTGTCAGGAAATAATGCGCATCCCTGAAGGTTGGAAAGACTCGCCGACAGCTGCCTTCAAAAAATTACAGCTCAACCTATGGTGACTATACCAGGAATCACGCTGGCATCGCTTTGAACAGTACCGTACAACCTGACATCCCGCGCATTGCCTAAGATAAATTTCTTCCGCAGTACCACCGCAGTAACACTGGTAATAAGTCGACAAATCAGCAGGGATGAAGCAATTAGGTCTACAACTGACTTGTAGAACCCAGCCCTTTTCACTCGGTGATGGCGACCGTATCATTTCTGCCCCGGACCTGCACATCCCATATGATCGTATCGTCTGCTCTGTTTTGGACCAGACATCCCATAGATGTCCATCTTGTCTCACGATTGGTCCGAGATTATCAGACCAGGCGTCCACATGTTTGCAGGCGTAGGTCAAGATTTTGTTGTGAAGAATGTAGCTGAATAAGATCATGAAAAAAATCTCATTGATCTTATGAGGATCCGCCTCCACCTCTAACTCTACCTCCAGAGGTCCGGAAGGACCTACGTGTACCATTGTTTCAAAGGCATGTGCGCGAAGAGCTTGATGGAACGCTGAGACAGGGTCGTCGGCATGTTTAAGGAGAAAGACGAGGTACGGAAAACTTGAGGCGAGGGCCTGCACCATGCTCCCTCCGCCTGGGGGAAGAGACTGGAGAACACGGAGAGCCGAGAAAATCTCTTTGATGGACCGCTGGAGGATGTATGCTTCCCGCATCGCAGCATTATGCATGCTCGTTGTTGCAATAATTCCAACACAGCACGAAAACATTGGTACAAGCAGCTTGAGCTTGAAAGAGTTGGAAACTATATCAGGGTCCTTAGCCATCAATCGTACGTTCTTGACATACTTGAGAGCCGTAGAAGTGACGGTGTCAATACCACCTGACACTTCGAGTAGTATGGTCACAAAGGATTCGTTGCGAATGCATTCTGCAACCAAAAAGGAGCCGAAAACTCGAAAAGAAGCGATGTGAGCGCCGGACTGCACTGACAAGCACACTACATCCTTGTCTTTTGTTTTCAGGGCTAACAGCCACAACTCCGCGATCGGGCGATAAAGGATGGGAGTGATAGGTAGTCCTGTGGTTTCGCCGCGGTTTCCCCCAACGACTGAAACATGAAATAGTAAGCTAGTAACAAGCTTGATGACAGACGTCCTGTCGACGGGTCGATAGTTGGCTCTGCACATAATGAACTGGTCATGAAAGAACACAAGCCATGGAGTGACACGGTTCCAGGAGGAAATAAGATACCGTTGTTCCGACTCTGCCGGCGAGTCAGCACCAAAACCATCGATACGGCCCAAGGTTACAACAATCGCGAGAAGTGACCAGTAGACGAGTTCGATATCAGTGGTAGCGGCTGGATTTGGCTTTGCAGGAATGCGGTCTGGGTCGAGATACATGTAGAGCACTGGTTGCAGTATACATAGCTCGGATGTGGAACAACCTGGAAGTCGATCACACAGCTCCTCAAAGTCTGCGACCGAACGATTCGACACTCCCCGGACCAGCCTCTGAGTGACACAGAGTAAGCGGCTACAATAAACTAAGGATCGATCGCAAGACACTCACCCGCAAATCCTGGGGGAGCTGTGACAGTAGCGTCGCTGAGATCATTCTGGGTCACGGTGGTTCACTGATTCAGGGCCACGGGCGGGGCCGCTGATTCCAACCGAGTTGCACGTTGGACAGACCATATATAGAAAGTCAGAAAGAATCATGATGGATGCCGACTCGAGGTTGAGAGTAAAGATCAAGTTGAATCATTTTTTGCATACTATGATACCAAAACAACAACGTTTGAGTAGTAAATATTGTGCGGGCAGTGCTGACTCGGATGTGTATAAGGGAACGGAGCGAAAGCATGGTTAATTGAGAGAGCAATGAACGTTACTACTAACAAACGATCAATTATGGATAATCAGCACGTGCTATGACTACGTCGTCCCCGTTGGAGGTCAATCAGTCCTTGCCCCTCCAGCCCACCTGACACAACATGGAAAATCAACGAACAAGCACAGGCAAGACCGGAGCGACAAAAATTCACGTACATTACTGATAACACCTACGCCCTAACTTCATCTCCATATTTAATGCAGTACGCGGACTGAACAAAATCTGTCGTGAATCATATTGATCGTTTATCGCGATTACCGAACACAAGAATGATCGATGGCCCCTTGGTTCTTTCAAGTTCCAGGACGACAAGCTTTCTACGATGTTATTTTCAGAGAACCCATTGAACAGGGAGAGGTAGTGTCGGAGAGGCCGAACTGATACATCGAGCTCATCTACACCGAGCTCAACCACAAGCCGTTCCCGGTCTGTCGGATATTTGCGCTGCGCAGCGGCGACCAACTTCGGAATATCGTCGTCCCCTTGGCACGACATCTGTCTGTCTTCTAGAGCAGCTAGCAGACGGAGACTACGCTTCACGTAGTGCGGCGATGATGAGCCTAGATAGATCGTGAGTGGAAATGATGTCTTTGAACATCGGAAAGACTTGCCAACAGCTGCCTTGAGAAATTTACAGCTCAATCTATGGTGACTGTACCAGGAATTACGCTGGCATCGCTTTGAGCAGTACCGTACAACTTGACATCCCGCACATTGCCTGAGCTGAATGTCTTCCGTAGTGCCACCACAACACTGTTTTAAGAGATAAATTGAGTGGTCAGCAGGAACGAAACAACGAAGTCTGTGACTGACTTTTAGAACCCAGCCCTTTTCATTGGATAATGGCCGCCTTATCATTTCCTCCTTAGACCTGAGACTGACATATGATCGTATCGTCCGCTCCATGGCGGACCAATCCTTCCAGAGGTTTTGGTCTTGTCTCGCGATTGGTCCGAGAGTATTAGACCACGCGTCCATATGTTTGCAAGTATAGGTCAAGATTTTGTCGTGAACAAGATAGTGGTATAATATCTCGAAAAAATCCGCGCTGATATTATGAAGATTCGCTTCCATCTTCACGGGTCCAAAGGGAGCCATATGGACTACTATTTCAAGGGCGTGTGAGCGGAGAGCTTCGTGGAACACTGAGACAGGGCCGTCGGCACGTTCAAGGAGAAAGAAGAGGTACTGGAAACTCGAGGCGAGGGCTTGCTCCGTGCTCCCTCTACCAGGGATAAGAGGCCGGAGAATACGGAGAGTCGAGAAGATATGTCTGATGGAGTGTCGGACGATGAATCCTTCCCGTATCGCAGCACTGTGCATGCTCGTTCCTATGATAAATTTGACACAGGTCGAAAACATTGTCACGACTTGAATCAGCTCCACCCGGACGTCCTGGGAGGTTATATCAGGGTCCTTGACCACTGACGGTATGGCCTTGACATACTTCAGAGCTGCAGAAGTGAAGGGGCCGATGCCACCTGACACTTCCAGTAGTGTAGTCACAAAGGACTCGTTGCGCATGCATTCTGCAACCAAGAAGGTGGTGACAAGTCGAAGAGAAGTGATGTGACCGAGGTCACGCAATGGCACTTGAACGCTCAATACATCTTCATCTTTTGTTTCAATAGCCAGCACCCACAGCTCTGCGATCGGGCGGCAAAGGGTGGGCGTAGTAGCGAGTTTTGAGTTCCCGTCAAGGTCGCGGCCAGCGATTAAGCCATGAAACAGGATGCTGGCAACAAGCTTGATGACAGGCGTCCTGTCGACGGGTCTATAGTTGGCCCTGCACATAATGAACTGGTTATGAAAGAAAAGGAGCCAGGGAACAACACAGTTCCAGGCGGAAAGGAGACATCGTTTTTCAGAATGAACATCGATATTGCCCAAAGTTGTGACAATCCCAGTGAGGGACCACCGGGCGAGCTCGATATCGGTGGTAGCGGCTGGAATCGATTTTACAGGAACGCGATCTGGGTTGAGGTGCACGTAAAACACTGGCTGCAGTATCTGTAATTCAGATTCGGAACAACCTGCAATTCGATTGCAGAGCAGCTGAAAGTCTGTAACTGAACGGTCCAGCACTCCCTCAGCCAGCGTCTGAGCAATATAGCAGTAAGCAGCGATAGCAAATCAAAGATCGATCGCAAAACACTCACAAATACATCTTGGGGCAGCTGTGATAAAAGTGTCTCGAATGAGATCATCCACACTTAAAACGGGTGATCGCTGTGCAGTGCGCACTGTCAAGCTTCAAGAGTCGTGGTCTACTAAGTCTCCCGTAGGAAGAAATAGAAAGAAGATGGCCGTTTCTTGTTCAAACCATAGCGCGCTTATCATGATATTGATATGACCTGGATCTTATCAAGCTTCATCCTGAGAAACTTTTGAAACCGAGTCGTGAGCCAAAATGAAGTTCAATTACTTGTAAGATGAATTATGTGACTCAATGTCTTTCAAGCTTGAGGTGACCGTCGACGACACCATAAGCTTCTTGCAACTGAAGCGTCGAGCGCAAACTGCGACATTAGACAAGTAAGTAACTATAAGTGTATTGTGCGTGCAGTGCAGAGGTGTGCGTGGGGGTAAACGGAGCGAAAGCATGGTCAATGAACATAGCAACGATGGATAATCACTACGTGCTATGACTGCGTCATCCCCGTCCGGAGATGAACGATCTGAAGGGCCCCGTCGTGCGGGTAATGATGTAGTTCTGGACTATGCAAATGGTACGATGATGTTCCAATCATGATACCCAGGATGATGCAATTAGAAGTTCGAGGAAGTCCCGTTAAGCGCGGGAAAGTCGGTAACCCTCTGTCAGCACATGTGGGTAGGAGGTAGTGGTATGAAGCCGCTTGACGTGTAGGACAGCTGCGTCCGTCGAGATAGGAGAGTAGCATGGAATACTGATTAGGCAGTTGCAAGAGTCGAAAGCATCATGCACCCTACGGCGTGGGCTGCTGCGTCGGCATGTCTCTTGCCTGACCTTGAATGTCCTACAAGAAGCGCATGAGTTCATATTACGCTTCCATATGAAAATCACGATCATGGCAGCCTCATGGGCCCACAATCAAGAAATCGAGATTAGCCAAATCAGAGGCTCACCATCCTTGGCCTTTTAACGGGTCTTGGACGGACTCCATTCGACCCTGCACGGACTCCAGCCATGCCCATAGATATGTTTGTACCGTTCACACTCGGGTTGGGTGGTAGCGCAGGGCCATCCTCAAGTTCACGCTTCTTGCCTCGCATGCCGCCGAGGGCGGACGTATCTGTTCGTTGCGACGCGGCACTGTTCGGCACAGCTGATCGCGGTGCAGCGCTTGTTGGTGTAGTTGTGCGAGTTGATGCTGTAGGGGGTGGTATCGATACAGCAGGAACATGAGGCTTCGAATGAATGGGTTGCACTTGTGATGCTACAGGCGGTTGTTGTGCGGATGGTTGATTTGGATTTGATGGTGCCACTTGTGGCGGGGGGAGCGTACCGGGTGCGCCGGGTATGCCTCCCGGCGCAAGACCTTGAGCTTGAGCACGTGCGAGTTTTCTAGACTCTTTCTGCGAAAAGAAAATACGTGATGTTCTGGATGTTAAAACTTATGGAGATGAGAAAGCCACACGTACCCGTTTTCTCCTGTCTTCCTTTGCCTGTGCAGACTCTACGACCAAAGTACTTGCATTCCACTGGTGCAGTATCATCAAAATACAAGTATGGTGTAAAGAAGGAAGAGCGTACCCCTTTCAGACCTTCCGCACTGACGGTGAATGCTTCCCTCTGCGTCCGTTCATCGAACTCGACGATTGGTATGCGTTGCTTTGGTGGTACCTGCATCATCGTAGTAAGGTAGTCGTCCTTCTTCATCGAGTGCTTCCCAGGGACACTCTTTATGAGGAATCGGTAAGAATTCTTTTTCATTTTGTCATTACTGTCTGGAAGGGCGGCCGGTGTAAGTGGTGGTATAGAAGCGTGTGACAGTGGCGTCTGGGAGGGAATGGATGGGCGGACATGCTTATCATAAGCAGAATGAAGATTAAAGCGACCAAGAATGTCCTGTGTGCTTGTAAGGGATGTTCGTGGAGGGGGATGTGCTGTAATTTGTGAGATTAGTCGGGTGTGAAACGTAGTAATCAAACGCTATGAGAATGAAAACAACTAGTGACGCCCGTACCAGCTGGTGTTGGTAGAAACACGAGGTCAGAGTCTTGAGTGATCGTCGACGGGCCTGCCACGGCATTCTGATGACTATTTAAGTCGTCCTCGACGTCCATGTCGAGTAGTGAAGAGAACGAGCGGAGATCAGAATCACACTCTGAAAGCGCGTAAATCTTAGGCTGCCTAAGTTATCCGAGGCAACACAAAAGATCAGGGAAGCAGCGTGCTCGCGGATGTCGCGGTAATTACCGACGATGAGCAAAGGCTGTTGGTCGCCGTCGTCGTCGATGGCAGGGACAAGGGGATCCAACAAGTTTGACACCGCAAGAGAATATGAATCGGCAAAGATTAGTCAGCCACACGTGGTTTGTTGGCGGGAAGGTTGACTAACTTTTGAAATCACCTTGGGCAGCAACGTCTATACAAGACTTTGTGGGCCTTGTGGAAGTACTGTGACCTTTGTGGACTGTTGAATATGGTAAGCCTTTATGTTCCTTATTCTTGCGTACATGATACACATACATGGATACTGACCTTTGCAGTAGAATCTTAATGATGACCGAGCTAAATGATACACGGGAACATTGAGAGTACTTGGTCAAGGGCTAAAGATAAGTGCTTGGCACCGCACACGAACTGTCACGAAAAACTCGGTGGACGCGAGATGGGAGGCATACAGTACGATGCAATGCCCCGCATGGCCTCCATGATGTTGGGCGTAAAAACATCCGATGGAAAGTGTACTTCTAATGTGACACTAGTACAGGATTTGCTGTAAGTGCTGAATACTATCGGTAATTTATTAAGCTTGCAGATAATGCCAATGTAATACCCCAATGGAAGGTCTAGGAGGATTTGTTCGTCAGAGGAACTCGATGCACGACCTCGAGCGCAGATGATGCTGCAGACAAGCAGGGACGAGACGCCGACATCAATCAACCGATGAGCACCATTCCACCAAAGCGCTTGAGCCAGGCATCTAGCCTCTCGGTTTCAAAGTATTCAAAATCCCAATCCTCCTCTGCTAAAGCATCTGTTCCACCCTTCCACACGTATGCGAATGCATCCAACTTGCTTCCATCGAGCATATCCACTACAACCGGAGTTCGTTCGTACGAACTACCTTCGTAGTTGTCCAGTTTCTTCCACTCTGAGAGGCTGGCGGGAAAGATTACGTATCCATCAACAGTGCAGTTGTCATTGCCACGGATGAGCGCGGGATAATCACGGCGATAGACACGACGCCTTTCGAAACCTGTTATTGTCCCAGGTTTACGCTGAGAGAGGACGTCTCCCGCTTTTGATGAGTCACCTTTGATTGCCCAGGCTAGGAGAGGGGCGGCCATTAACGTCCCATAGACGAATATTGGCGCAACAGGGCTGTTGGTCGAAGTAGCAGCGTCCATCATAGACTTGTGCAGAGTGATAGGGGTCTAACGATTTCACCAGAAAATATGTTACGAGCGCGGCTACCAAGTAGCGCAATATCAATATTAAGTCCACCTGGTACGCCACAAAGAAAATTACCTGGGATGGTGGAAAGAACAAGTTGGATAGTTGATAATGGTGTCCAACCCTTTAAGTAGGCTGGTAGGGACAATTGTGACAGTCGTGTGCGTCGGTGTTTTATAGGGGTTGATTAGCCAAAATTGGCGAATATTCCCACAACTTGATCATGAGGCCAGGAGCGGCTGCTCAAAAGATTCTTGAGCTCCGCCCATCTTCGGTAGACATCCGGCATCCGTCAACACCTACAAATATTAACAATGCGCACTACGTTCCGTTGATCATACTGTTCAGTAAGAGACACCATGGGTATATGGACCTGGATTCGGAGGTCAGGCCCAATTAAATTTGCTGCATGGCTTTCTCCCAATACTTACTACGCGGGGGTTCTTCAGTAGGTTGCGGGAACCTCAATACTGTGTCAATGGAGAGACAGAGCCTCGTTCAAGCCAGCCCGAATTCACTGTGCGTGGTGCATATTCCGAGAAGTCCTCCGGATAACTCATGTTCAACAGTTCCAAGCGGTCGCTATAGGCCTGCTAATAGGCTGCTTGCTGTGCTTTACGAACTTGTACTTTGGATTGCAGACAGGATGGATTAGCATGTGAGTCACCAAATAGCCGACAAGACAAAATAACTGATACGTTAGCCATGAAGGATGTCACTTCAATCCGCCTTAATTGGTTTCTTGCTGTCCAAGATGCTCCCAACTCCCCTTTCTCCGCAGGAAATAATCGTAGTGCAGACCACTGCAGTTGCTACCGGAACGGTGGGTCATCTTCTCATCTTCTTCATAACCGGCTTATCACTTCCTTCACAGATGCCACTAGCAGCGGGGTTTGTTGGAATTTTACCTGCGCTGGGTCTACTTGAGGAGGAAAAGGATGGGAGCCCACCAATTCGTCTTTCTTGGCTTGCTGCTATAGGATGGTCATGCTCGGTCGCATTTTTCGGAGTATTCTTGTCACCCCCCATTAGAAAGCAAGTCGTGCGTAGCATAACTCTTTATTGACCGAGGCCAGACTGACGCTGAAAAGATCATCAAAGAGCAACTGGCGTTTCCATCTGGCACGGCGACTGCTCAGCTGATTTCCGTCCTACATCGAATGCCCCCTCCAGATACTACGTTGCGACACCGCTCCGGCTATAGGGCAATTGACACAGAAGATTTGACACATCCTACCGCACTCACGAACGAACCTGAGAATAATCAGGAAGCCGCTGCAGAAAACGACTTTGACGAAAGAGAGGTTGTTCAGCGAGAAGGCTGGGAAGATCTGCTAATGAGCTTCCTTGCTTCCGGGGCAATGACTGTATGCAGTGTCCCTGTTACTTTCACTGGTTATATTCAGCTCACGTCCATCTTCAAAGCTTGCCGCATATTTTTTCCCGATTGTCTTCGCGATTCCGCTATTCGGGAAGTACCTAGCCCGAGAATGGCTTTGGTCTTTTACTCCTAGTTTGTCGTATGTCGGTCAAGGTGCGTGTGGCTTCGTCTAGTTAAGAGTTTGCTAAAACCTCGTGAAGGTATTATCATGGGTTTCCCAACCACCTTGAGTATGAATTTGGTAAGTCTGATTCTCCACTTATGTAGCCGCTGTTTATAATTTACGTCAGGGCATGCTTGTGGGTTGGGGTATCTTATCACCTCTGTC